ACAGGATGTCTGCCTACACGTAAGACTTGACTAGAGCGGGGTAGCTCCGAAAGGTGGCAGGACTTTGGACATTGTCGACCAGTCTACAGGCAGAAGTTGGTTGTGCAGGTATAAAAGGCAATGTTGCTGTATTATCACTGCACGCATTTATGCAGGCACTGTATTTATCTGATTTTCTAAGCAAAGAGGGGCCAAGACCCGGATATATGCAAGGTTCCTGGTATGAGCCGCTGGAATCCTGTAGGATGTCGTGCTACCCCAGCTGTTGACACTATAGGAGCATTTGTGTGTTCAACTGCTCAATCATGTGCCGCAATCAACACAGCCAACAGACTAGTGCATCAGGGGTGCCACTGTATCGGCTGACCGTGATTATCATGTGATGATATCATCTGTTAATGATAAGATCGTTCCTAACTTAGGCATAACATCCATCGAATCCTCCTGCCTGGCCATCCTGTCTAGCCCTATACGCAGCAATAGCTTCAACCGCTATCGGGTTTAGCTGACTGTAGTAGTACTCAACAATCTTCACATACTGTTCCCGTAGGATCTGAGCAATAATGCTTGCAAGGTCCTGGAGAGATCAGTGAATGCTCTTTGCACCATCTTAAGCCACAAATGAAAAGATTACATCACTCCCCTGCTTGGCCTGCACCATGACTTTGCTGACGCTGTGATTTGGAACTATTTTCGCATCTTCGACTAGGGAATAAAAGAAAAAAAACTGAACATCTACCATGTCGTAGTACGTCCGAGCAACCAGGTGGGCATCATATCCTTTGAACTTAACGGTCTCGTTCTCCAGGGCATCTACCATCTGCTCACTGTTGTAGATAGCGAGATCACCTGCATTGTTCAGACCAGATATAAGGAGCTATTGGAGGAGCATCATTAATTGTAACCTTTAGAGGACAAGGGCAAAGTTGATAGCACATGACATACAGACCAGAGCTCAGTACTCTTCTGTCTTGTCAGGCCGCCGGGACGTGTTCCGTTCATTCCGCTCATATCAAATACCGGTGTTGATATATCGTTGTATTTTCTCCTCAAGATGTTTGGGTTTTTTATCACTGTGCGGAGCTCAAGTTAAGCAAAGCATGGAGAGTAAAATGACCAGCAGAGTTGTGGTGAGAGAATCAAGCTTCATGTTGACTGCTGGGGGGGAGAGGTGTAAAAAGGTACTGAATACTTCGTAGATGTCACAGGGTGGATTGTCTGTTGTTTGTTGGGCATCAAGCGGGTCAAACAGATCCGGTGAACTCAAAAGTCATCGGCATCTTTCATCTTTATCTCTGGTATAACCTGTGGCCTGCTTTTAGATCCAAGCTGACGTGGCCTGGGAGACTACAAGCTCTTGTGGCGGGTGGTATGGATCGGATGTGACGCTAGGCGATCTCATATCCTACTCTTTTTTGAAATCCGTAAAGACCGAGAAGACCCGCATCACAGTTTTCGCTGGCTCTGGAATAGGTTGAACTTCTAGAATCGAGAATGTCGACACTGCCACATGACCGCAAGAGCGTGGGGGTTAGCGAAGCAGCTAAGAGTTTTAAATGTAACTTTCAGTTAGATACGCAGTGATGATTCCCTTCAGGTTGAGTGTTTGGGACCAAATTGAGGCAGCCTACCTCGATTAAATCTTTTGACACGCTCCTGAGGAAGAAGAGCTGGCGAACATTCAGACTCTTGGACGAGGAGTGATATCGGACAGTACCAAGTACTATAAATGATACGGTTCCCAAGAAATCCAATCACCCTAGCTTGAGAGAGGACATTCGACTTACATCAAGGTGGCAGCGTCACGGAAATCGGAAACTTCCAAGCATAACTCTGCGCTGTTCTCTAATAGGTAATATGCATAACGAATGTGTCTCTCTAGTATTGTTCCAGTTTTAATGCTCCTTCTTAGCCCATTGCCGGTGGTTTCTGCATAGTCTAGCGAAGGCTCAAAATGGGCTCCTTGAGGGTTGTGCTGTAAGTCTTTAGAGTATCTCCCATCTCGTTGTTTTGATTATTCACCATCTGGGAAAGAATGTAACTGAACTCTGGGGAGATTTTAATAATGAGGAGGATCGCCACATGCTGCTGAGAAGATGGTCAGTATACCGTGCATTTAACCTTCAGGCTATCCAAGTAAACAAAGACGAAACCAAAATGACCTACCATAGTGTTAACGGAAGGAGTAGATAAAGCTTTCTTGACTGGATGTCCGACCCAAGTATGCTTTCGAAGAACATCTCGCCCGCAGATAGCAAGTGCTCTCGGGAACGTTTCCTGATTCCAAACAAAGTAGAAAAATGCATCGATAATCTCCTATTCCTCCATGTTTCTAAAGTGATATCTTTCAATTGGCTGCAGCTGACGTCTCAAATCATCACTAGCAGTATCGATGACCTGCAGGCTGTCTAAGATGTTCTATTATGATGGATGATCAGTATCAGAACAAATGGCACAGAGTAAATGCTTAAAGCTTATGTGACTGCTCACTGCGCAAGGTCCAGAGCCCTCTTCTTACAAGCACTTTTCTTGTGTGATTGTGCTTTCAGCACCAGTAGATTGTTGCTCGCCACAGTCATGTTCATGAGTCTGGTGTTGGATGTATAAGAAAATGGTGATGTGGATGGGAGTATTTACTTGGGCGTTGCCCTGCAGGACACGTGGCTCTGAGGGAATCTGTCAAGCACAATAGGTGCCGCAGAATAACAACGCTCTACCTTCTAAACTACACACCCGTGAGGGTGGATGAGCATGGCTTTTATATAAGGTCAAGTGTGCACCTGACCTCAGTGGAGCCGGGGCAGACAAAGGTAGGTCAGCGGTGACCATACCGTGGTCACTTGCATCTAACACCTGGCAATTACTTTGGCACCAGGGGCCGATTGCTCTGTGAGCGAGAGCCAAATGCGCATCGTGGCAGCTTTCAAAACTTCGAAAGGGGCATCTTGGTGGAAAATGTTTTACAAGTCTTTCTTTTTTCCTTATTACATAGAATAAGACCTTGGAGTGATTGCCAAACAGCTCTTTTGTATTTTGAAATAGCATCCGCCTACCCTCCGTTGATTTGAAGTCCTGGCAATCCCAGACGGAGTATTCGGTCTATTCCTCCCACTCCGACGCGAGACCGTTGCCTCCTTCATACCAACTCTTCCCACCACATCAAAACGATATAACCCCCCTTGTTTTCTCTTCTACCTTGGACTGGCACTGGGTCCCATGTCGCTGCCCATCGAAATCGTGGATACATCCCTTGCGAACACAACAGCCGAGTCAGACAGCGTCGAAGGCATAGTGCAGCCATAGATCTCATAAGCCCCAATCACGAGAATCAAAGTTGGATAAGCTGGGGACTCAGCCTAGTTGGGGGTCCTCTTTCTCCCTTTCGTCTTGATAGCCGTCAGTTATCTCTGTGATCATTTTAATCCTCTCAAAGATCGAGAAGGTGGGAAAGAAGATACCCAATCGAACAAAAAACCGCTAAAATGCTACTTGCTCAGCAGTATACCCTCCAGGATGACATAACTAATGCTGTTGTCTGCACTGATGTGGCCACTCCTGTCGGGAATGGCTTGTTTCATGTGAATCAGTGACAAGTAGGCCCCCCCTCGGCCCGCTGGGACGGACATACAGCTAACTCTTTCTCGAGAGGTTCTATCGATAATGTCTCGCCCGCTGGCTCGCAGAGGCCTCAGGGCACGGTGATTTTTCAGAGTATCACGTACGGTTCAACCCCCCCCCCCCCGGGAGGCGATCAAGGAGTGCCCTTGTGGCCGAGCGGTATCTAGAGGCCACTCCTCTTCTTGCCCCCTTACCATCTGCAACAACCCGCTCGTGGGGAGGCTGGACCTAAGAGCGTTCTGGTCTCCCTTACAATCATTCAGATCTAAAGCCTCTCTCAGATCGAGCTCCTGGGCCGAGCCTTTGACGCTGTCACAGGGTAACCTATACCGACAGTTCGACCCCCTCGCCGGCTCCCTCTTCCGTGATCGAGCCCAACTTCACATGGACAGAGAGCTTTGTCCCCGACTCCTCTGAGTCAGTGTCTGAGCTAGAGGTCCAGATCCCCCAAGCCATATGGGGGGTAGCCCCGTCCCGACCTTGGTACAACCCTTACCTCGCCTTTCCCTTTGCCGACACGAGTTTTTCCCTCAGCGCAAGTTTTTTTTTCCAATGCAACATGTACATAATCTAGTACTTGTATCTTTTGCTCGCCGTGGCCGTGAGCACGACCTAGCGCCCACGGGAGTTGGGGCCGGTCGAAAGATAGAATCCATTCATTCATTCATTCAGCGACAAGTACTTCCTAAGTCGTTGAAGAAAATGAGATACTGGTCGTCTCTCTACTTGGAAATTTCGATAAATTCCATCCTTTGGGGCCCCGTAGTCAGAAGTGCATTGTGAGCTATTTTATGTCTTGGGCGGAGAATCCCACGATCCCACGGGATGGGCACTGATGAAAGTGTGGGCTATGATATGTCGGTGTACATCAGAGCCACCAGGAGTTGCAATTGTGTTGGGTCCGTGATTTCAGATGAAAGAGCTATGGAACAGGGAAGAGGGGGCAAGAGGACTACATACAGTGACAAGCATAGAAGCCGAGGGATGTATCAATTGGAAAGGCTAGGATGGCTCCTGCTAGAGCGTGGTCAATATTTTGGCGTGCAAGCCAGGCTCCATTCTGGGAAACGAGTCGCAGAGTGTAGAGATACCTAGATTCTTCGGTAATTATCAAGTTAGGCATCACGTTCATTATAGAAGCAATGGACTATCCCTCGGGACAAGACATGTGAAGAGAGGTTGTTGACCATTTGATGTTCAGTGCACTTGTTCTCACAATAATGAATCAACCCAATGTACAGCTGATGCTTATAGCCTGCCTGTATCCCCCAGTACAAAATGCTTGCCAAACATTAATAACTACCTAACACATACCCTTTGATAAGATCCATAATCTATCGGGGACCAGCCCGGCCTTCATCACATCATCACATCATGCAGAACTACGCCGCAGCCGCCGCAGCCCTAGGCTTATTCCCATTTGCACTGCCCATCAACAACATCGCAATGCCCAGCGGAACAGGCAGCGGGAAGGGAAGTGGATTGACGGGACTCGATATCATGGTGATGGCGAAGGTCTGGTTCATTTGCTGCTTTGTTGCTGCGCTGTCGGGTGCTGGGCGAGGTGCTGGAACAGCAACTCCGACTGGGGAGCCCGTTCTTTGTTGGGTGCCAGGGGCGAAGGAGCTGCGAGGGGAGCGCTGGGTTGAGTTGCTGCTGGGGTTAGTTGGTCTCCGGGAGCGGTTGCTATTGCTGTTATTGTTGTTGGGGCTGTTGTTGCGGTTAAAGTGGGAGGTGCTGTCACGATTGTTGTTGGTGTTACTGCTGTTGTTGTTGCGATCGAAGGGCCAATTGCTGCCTCGGTTATTATTATTATTATTGTTATTATTACTGTTGTTACTCCGGTCGAAGGGCCAATTGCTATCACGACTGCTGTTGTTATTGTTCCGGTTGAAGGGCCAATTGGGTTCACGGTTCAAGTTATTGTTGTTGCCGTTATTCCCGCGGTTAAACTGGGAAGAACTTGATCTCTGCCCCAGACTCGACGTCTGTGACCCGATGGTTGATGCACGTCCCCGAGCACCAGGGCCACCACTGGTAATCAAACCGGACTGCTGTGGGGTCTTCCCTTGCTGCTGTTGTCGCTGTCGGCTATTAGTGGGGCCACTGGCTGTGGAACCGGAGGTGACGGTGGCCCGGCGGGGAGTGGGGCGCAACGGCGGAGGGTCGGCGCCACGCGGCACTCGCGGAAAGTTTAGATTTCCCGGGCGCGGGTTGGATGAGTTTGGCCGGCGTTGGCCTCCTTGGCTTTGGGTTTGGCTCTGATTGGAGGACATGATGATGGCTGCTGGAGCTGGGGTTAGAAGTGGGTTCGGTACTAGTGATGTCTTCGAGCTCGTACGGTTTCACAAGAACGGTCTGAAGGCAGAGTTGGATCACAATGTTGTGTGTTTAAATGAATGAAGATTCCAGGGTTAAGCCTTTGCAAATTCGAGTCTTCTGTTTATATCATTGCTCTTTTGACAGGCTCGCGGCTCGGAGGATGCAACAGACGCGGTCTTGGCGGGACAGGAGTTGACTGCGATTCAGGTTTGTTTCAGCAACTCCTGACAGCAGCGAGAAACGTACGACGCAGGGTCAGAGCGCAAAGCTCCGAAGACACGACATCATGGGTCCGCCGGATCGCCGGGAGCATCCGAGTCGTACCCTTGAAGATCTCGAGACGTCCTTTTCCAGAACATCGTAAGACTTAAGACGGCAAGGAGGAAAACCGATAGAGTAACAAAGAAAAGGTCTAGTTTCCAACATGCAGCAGTTGAGACGAAGTACTGCATGAGTTGAGTTGTTTTTTGCAATATTGGGACGTTCCTTTGGATATTCAACTTACTCATCAGTATTTCTCTTTAGCACAGGTGGAACGTGAGTTATTGAGTCATCTGTCCGAGACATTACAGACAAAAATCCCGATGTCTATCTTAGCGTAGAGATATGATAGGCCTTTTAAAGCCCACACTGCAGGAACGGCTATTGAGAGTGAGACACTTATTCAGGAACGCCTTCAACTTCCACACTCATGAACCGTGCATCACGAAGCATTTTCGCTGATCGCATTAAAAACGCACGGCTAACCGACTATTCTCAGACCAACTGCTCGGTCAGTGTTGACTAATGGCGTACGAGAATCCACCGTGATATAAAAAGACGGCGAGCGCCATTTCGTACTTGAGGGAAGATAGAGGACTTCCCCTTCCACTCCATCACGGCATATGTCTGTGATTGTGTGCAAATCGCCTAGTTACGAGTAATACGACCTTTTAGGCCAGCAAAACTCGATTCTAGTGCGGGAAGCCATGCATCTCCCATTTCTTGTAGTGATAGCTGCCCTTGTCGTTGGATGTGTCGCAGCCGATGACAACATAACCTGCAGCGAAGTAGTTAAGGCATTCAATAGTCTCGAAGACTACTATCGGAGCCTATGGGATACCGCCAACTCAATTGATACCGATGCCGAAATCACGGCCGATGAAGGAGCGTATCCGGTTAGATATCTCCCGTTTTCTGTCCCCTCTGCATCTATCCCCTATTCCCAAAAGCACTAACAAAACGAACTTCTATCATCAATTCAGTACATATACAAAAGCCTTGAAGATATCCTAGGTCTCAGTGCTGAGCTCACCCAGCGACTTTACAAGCTCCAACCTGAAACATTTGTTAATGAAGAAGGAAAGGATGTTTATGACGCCCATCGCAACTGCTCCGTTTCGGAGAAAGACTTCTTGGCCGTCCTCAGCGCCAAAGGGCCCAAAGTGGTACAGAAAACACCCGCACTCAGCGAGCGCACCGTGGAGGCTCTAAGGCCTCTTGTAGACTCCAACGAGGTGAGTGGAATGAAGTCTCGGATGAAAACATACGGTACTCACAACCCTTTTCAAGAATCTCGGTGCAGCAACGATATACAGTCTCCAATCCAACCTGCAGGAATCCGCTGTCGTCAATGTATGGGGTGTGGATTTGAAGATTGTGGATGCCATTGCTGCTTATCAGATTGGAAACTGTACTGCGGCTGCGGTAAAGGAGGAGCCTAAGGAGCCTGAGGAGGGAGAGCAAGGGGCGGAAGGGGAGCAAGCTCAAGACGTAGAGGAAGGGGAAGAAGTGGGGGGAGCCGACGCAGTCGACGGCGTGGAAGAAGAGCTGGCCGAGTAAGTTGAGGAGTATTGACGATCCAGTCTCCACAGGGGTAATATGGATACTGTCTCTCTGCAACTATCTAGAATTGGTGATCTAAATGAAGGCATTACAGAAGCTCTATCCGTCAAAAACCGATGCTTTGCAACTCTCCCCCGCCATGTTGTCCCGTGTGCCTAGATGTTGAAAGTCTGTCAGATTTGCATTCTCTCCCATGAAGCACCCATGCAGGCTAGACGTAACTAACATCTAGTCTGCTTCTCTAACCAGAGTTCGTCTTGATACCATAAACATTTCCTTCTGCCTTATCATGGTCAAAGACCATGTCTATTCAACGTATCGTAACCTTGAGTGGTCATAAGAACTGTCACCAAGAGTTAATACGTTCCACAAAATTCGGCGCCTCAACTGAAGGACCTGCTGTATAACACACCCAACGCTGAGACACTGAAGAGAGAACATACGCCAACAAGACGCTCACAAGCTCCCACGTACACATCGTTTTCTGTTCGTTTTGGGTCAACCGCTGTTATTTCACGTCTGGCTGTCTATCTGGCCACCACAAGCCCCAAAGTAAGCCGAAGATTAGTGTTACCATCGTAAAAATGAAACCATCTTCAGTGAATCCCTACACTGACGCATGCCACAAAGTCTATAAATCGAGCCAGTCCCGTCGGTCGTCGAATGTTGCCTATCCAAGGTCAACTCGTGGTCAGGAGCCATTTCTTAGCAGAATCCTCTATACAGTTTGATCCCATCCCCCAGTCACAATGCACCTCCCTCTTATTCTCCAGCTCCTTGCTACCGGTCTCTTCACTATGGTCGCTATGGCCCAAGAGGTTCTCAACATCCCTGATGTCGCTCAGGTATGTCACAGCATACTCTAATCATCTTTCTTAGGTTTCTTTGTGCCTGAGTATCCAGTTATTCTGTTTCAATCATCTGCTAACCTTTTCCTACTTGTCACATAGTCTGTGCTGTCCGATATAGAGGCCCAGCTCCCGACTGTACCCGTCGAACAAGCCACCAGCATGGTTCTCGCCCAAGCCACTATTGTGCCAGGGGCAGATACTGTTTTGCAGGAAACTGGAGACGTGCCCAACGCTGTCAAAGCAGCTGTGGATGATATTCTCGCTCAAGGGGCCGACATTCTGACTGCGGTCACCGACAACACAAACTTGCGTCACCGTCGACGTGGATATCGCCGTGCGGATCATGGCAACCATAAGCGGGGGGCTGATCTGGGAAAGAACTTTGAAGACCTCCCTTTTCAGAAGATGTGAGGTATCGTTCTGGAACGAGGGAGCTTGTGAGTTGGGATGGCCGTGGCATGAATCTTGGGCAACGTCTACTCAGGGTGCTGTCTAATATATCGCTCGCGGGGCTATTTAATCTGCCTTGAACTGGTCATTCTATAATATGGGGACAGAGCCGAGATATGACCAGACTCTATCTGTCCAGTTCTGGTCTTCAGCATAAGGACTTAATGGGAATCCAGAATAACTACATTTTTATGGCATTAATAAGAAAGCTCACAGTCAAGACAGCTGACTAGCTTACGACAAAGCAAAGAGGGTGTCAATACAAATATATTCCTTACTACATTCTTCCACTATATCCCATGGCTAACTTTGCGTGGCATAATCTAAGATAGAGCGTTACTCTCAAAAAAATTCATGGAAAAGATGATATCAATAACATGATAGCATCTAGTGAGACTTTTCTGGCTGTTAATTTTGCTCAAGTCTTCCTCCAACACTACACTCTAGTAGCCTTTGGGTGGTCGATCACCACGCTGCTGCAAAAAATGTGAAACATCCCATAGCCCACTTCTAGACAACCCCTTCGGGAAATATAGCTAGCGCATCAGTGGCTGAAACACACCTATCAAAATTATCCTCTATCCTGCCTTCTAATACTCTTCTCTATGTCATCCTTCTATCGGAAAGTCAACTGGCAGGGACAACAAATTACGTTCCTCACCACCGTGACACAAGCGCCTTTGGACTTAGAGTCATCCCTGATGGAGGGTCAAATTTCAAATTTCGTGGGAATAACACCTCCAAATTCAGCGGGACTAGAGCATATGGCACAGAGCAAGGTGTGTGGGAGAAAACTTGTACACCTCTAGGCTTCCCGAGCTTCACATCCTACACGTTCTAATCGCTTCTCCAGCAATAGTCAATTCCTGTGCAACTGCCTCACATCCGACGCTCACCATTACTTCCAGCCCTACCATCATGCGGTTCTCCATTATCTTAGCCCTTACCATTCCGTTTATCACAGTCTTGGCCCAAACCGCGCTGACAACGCAAATGTCGACTCCATCTCCTAGCCTGGTACCAATGCCCTGAAGAGAGGCTTGAGAGAGCTCGCGAATGTCGTTGAAAAACCTAGTGAATACAACCACCACTTTTGTGCCTGACAAGGCAGGACCCTTAATCACTGAGGTCCAGGGGCAAGTTGAGGCTTGTCCACTTCAACTAAGCAGATATCTTGCTTACTCCCATAATGTTCTTCTCAACAACTATCTCGTTGCCTGTCATCGAAGCGCCTTCGTCCTCCCAGAAGCTGCATTTATGTTCCAATCTCTCGGTCAGGGGGGTAGCAAAGTTCCTAAATATTGGTAATGATCTGCCTACTGAGTACTATCGCAAGGTGCGAGAAAAACCTGCTGAAGATTCAAGAAATCATGCGAAGGATACTGGAACGCCTTTTTCAACATCCTGAATTCTCACAGGGGTACGGAGACCACAGGATTGGGAGAGGACAGCCGGCTGTATTGAAGTTCACTCTTGGGCTCGAGATGGGATACTTATGGAGATAGGACATCGCTCAATCTGCAAACCTGGCTTTGTTAGATCCTGTCAGAGGAACCATTTGTCAGTTTCATCTTCGCTGGTACGTCTTCACAGACACCTGGAATGCTGTTTTGTGACGTATACCCCATGATATCAGGCACACCAAGGGCCTAACTCCGCCCAAGCCGCACTCATTCCAGACAAGTCACCCATTAGTCCTGTCGTTTTCTCGTCACATTGCTGAGTAGGTAGATGAATCCGCCGCCCCGAGATTGTAATTTGTATTATAGTCCCTGAACGCCATGGAAAAAAAAAATGAGATGCCAAACCCCCGTCGCACGTTATTTCCCGCTTCGTTTCCCGACGCAAGCAGCAGCAACCCGCTTCTTTATCTAGCCGGCAATCCTCTCTACCGACCCATCATCATCATTCAAAACACCATGACTACACAATCCCCATCCCACAACTCTCAAAACCTCATCACCACCTCCTCTTTACGCCTTGGCAGTCGCCGGTGCTGCAGCAGCCTGCGCCTGAGCAGCCTGCTGAGCAAGCTTATTAGCACGCTCACGCTCTACCTCATACATGAAGTCAAAGTAGCCCTTATCGAAGTGGTGCACGCGGACGTAACCATCCTCACCACCAGAGGCGTAGCCCTTGCCGGTGGGGTCGGCAGCGACAGTGTTGAGAGGGCCGAAGTGGCCACGCACGCGGCCGATCTCGTCCTCGAAGATCTTGTGGTAGAAGCGGGCCTCGAATTTGCCCTGGCGCACGGCGGTCGTTGTGACCTCCATGGCGGCCTGGCCACCGCCCAGGATGACGAAGTCCTTCTTGGCCGTGATGGTTGCACTGTTGAGGGGCGTGTCGGCCGTGTAGGTCTTGAGGACCTCGAGGTCTTTGGCGGTGATGAGCTGTAGGGTGTTAGTATCTGAGGGCCTATCTAAGATAAGGCAAGGCATACCTTGGCTGTCTTGTCCTTGGAGGCGGTGATAAAGTAGGTCCGGTCAGCGGACCACTGCAGGTCGGTGATGGGATTGTTGAGCTCGTGGATGGGGATGTTGAGCAGCAGGTCGCCGGTCTTGGCGTCATACTGAGAGATGGAGCCGTCCTCGTGGCCGGCAATGATGTACTTGGACAGGTAGCTCCAACCGGCGACAGTAGCCTTGCTCTCCTCACAGACAATGACCAGGGCCTTCTCGTCAGACTGCTCGGCATTGACGTCAGGGTTGATGTTGAGCACGACGATGGTACCCAGGTGACCCATGCGCTTCTCGGTGACAGCAACCAGCTTAGTGCCGTCCTCGTTGAACTCGACACGCTTGATGGCAGTCGGGAAATCCCATGTCTTGAGCAAGCGGCCGGTCTTAACGTCCCAGAGACGGATGGTGTTGTCGGCGGAACCTGAGGCGATCATGGTGGTCGTGGGGTCAACGTCCACGGTCCAGATAGCACCCTGGTGGCCGCGGTATGTGCCGAGACGCTCGCCATTGTGGGAGAACCACACACAGATCTGCTGGTCCTTGGAGACGGAGAAGATGAGGTCGCCCTCGCGGTTGTACCTGATCTGGGTCAGGGCACGCTCGTGGCCCTTGAGCAGGATGGGCCTCATGATGGCGGGATGGTGGTGTTGGTCTAAAGCACTACTGATCTAGGGGAAATCGAAGGGAATCGAGCGTCTCGGACGGATCGACGGATCGATGTCTGCCCACAGAAACACGGGGTCGTGGAGGTCGGGGTTGGCGGCGGCGGCGGCGTCGTTGAAGATGACGGGGAGTCGACGTGCGACGGTGCGTGCCCAGTAATTTTTCCGCAGAATGTGCTTGTGGGCGGCCCCGATAGGCTGACGCAGAATCGCGGGGCGCTCTGCTGGGGTCCCTACCCCACTGTTCTTTCACCTGACGATTCACCGCCTTCCCGTTTTAGAGAGCGAGACTTTGGGGGACTTTTAATCTCGTGGTTCAAGTAAGATTTTAAAGTCTCAAAAACTCCAAAGAATTGACAGCTGCCCAACAGCTGTCTTACAGAGCCAATTGCAACAAACTCCTACTTAAGATGAAGCAGACAAGATTCTGTGATGACTGTTTACTATTAGTATTACCACATGCAATGCTGGGACAGTAATTGCCGATAATAAGTTGATCGCTGTCCTGCAGCAGCAAGACGACACCATTCCCTTTCCTGGCGCGAAAGATCAGCAGAGGACATAGTTTGAAGTCCGAAAGCTACTAGTTATATATTCAGGAAGCCGGTACATAGGGTGACAGTGTGGTTCTTCACTGCATCGAGTCAAATTGCCATCATTATGTCTCTGGGTTCTCTCTACCTCTAGATCCCAGACCTACCTTGGTCATCTTTTGTGCAGCTTTCCTCTAGCCAAGGGGAACAAAGACTCAATAGTTAACCGTGACTCATCCAGCATGAAACCGCGCCGCCATAACATTGTCGTTGAGTTTGTTGGCCGTCGAGCCGGCTATGTTGGGTATATCCAGCGTTTTTTTTGTGTCCTTGCGCTGTCCCTTGTCGGCCGATTGACGAGACATTTCAAGTGACTGAGCCTTTCTTGAACTTGACAACTCCACAAGAGTCTCATTGTCTCACTTCGATGTCCAAGGCCCGGAGCAGAACCTTCACACGCTCGCTCCTGGTACCAAAACAACTGGCTTGTACGTGTCAGGACGAAAACGAGGCGATTATTGACTGAGCGAAGATGCTGTGGTGCTATGTTGATACTGCAGAGTAACAAATAACAGTGAGAGCTAGAACGACAAAACAATGGCCCTCCCGACTCTCATTCACAGGATATCACGCAATTGCCGTCGGCCACTTGCAAAAGCTTTAATGAAGCGCCAATTGCTATTGCAGCTGAGCAGAGTGAGATCAACAAACTGCAGATCGGTGGTAATCATTGAGAGACGACAATGGTACCACGAAGACAGCGAGAAAACCACCATCACAGACTCTGTCGCAGATTTAAAGACAGGCACTGTCGAGGACAAAACAAGGGGCCTGCCCGACTTTCGGCGGCCTTCCTCGGCTGACATCGGACGCTCCGCAGCCCCGCGTTCCACTGGGAGTTTCCTGGAGCTTGCACCCCGCCAAAGAACTTCACCACCACTCCCCAACCCCATCCCCATTCCTCCTGCCCTCAACAACAAGCGACGCTGCGCACTTTTGCGTCCCCAATTCCCCCGCCAGCCTTCGATTGCCCCCAGCAGGGCGTTTAGCAGCTCGGTAGCAGCCATGGCCGCCGCAAAGATCGACGGAACCGCAATTGCCCGCAAGGTGCGCGAGCAGCTCAAGGCTGAAATTGCCGCCCGCAAAGCTGCAAATCCGCGCTTCAACCCCTGCCTCAAGATCATCCAGGTCGGCGACCGCTCCGACTCGACCACCTATGTGCGCATGAAGCTCAAGGCCTCCGAGGAGGTCGGCATCGCTGCTGAGCTGATCAAGTTCGACGAGTCTGCCACCGAGGCCGAGCTGATCGCCCGCGTGACTGCGCTTAACAACGACCCCTCCGTCCACGGCATCCTCGTCCAGCTGCCGCTGCCCAAGCATGTGTCCGAATACAATGTCACGTCCGCCGTCGCCAGCGAGAAGGATGTCGATGGCTTCGGCACCCACAACATTGGCGAGCTGGCCAAGCGCGGCGGCCGCCCCTTCTTCGTGCCCTGCACCCCCAAGGGTATCATGGTGCTGCTGAAGGAATCTGGTGTCGAGCTGGCTGGCAAGAACGCCGTTGTGGTTGGCCGCAGTGATATCGTCGGCAGCCCTGTCAGCTACCTGCTGAAGAATGCCGACGCCACGGTGACTGTCTGCCACTCCAAGACCAAGGACCTGGCGGAGCACCTCAAGCAGGCCGACGTCGTGGTTGTTGCCATTGGCCAGCCCGGCTTCATCAAGGGCGAGCAGCTCAAACCTGGCTGTGTCGTCATTGATGTCGGCACCAACTACATCCCCGATGCGACTAAGAAGTCGGGCCAGCGCCTGGTTGGCGATGTCGACTTCGAGTCGGCTTCCCAGGTTGCTTCCCAGATTACGCCTGTGCCTGGCGGCGTCGGACCCATGACTGTCGCCATGCTGCTGCAGAACGTCTTGGACGCCGCTAACCAGGCCTATGAGGCTGAACGCAAGAGGCACATCACCCCTCTTCCCCTCCACCTCCAGACCCCCGTCCCCTCGGACATTGCCATTTCGCGCGCCCAGCGCCCCAAGCCCATCACCCAAATCGCCAAGGAGATCGGCATTGCCGCCTCTGAGCTCGAGCCATATGGCTCTTATAAAGCCAAGGTTGACCTGAGCATCCTCAAGCGCCTGGCTCATCGCCGTGATGGCCGCTACGTCGTCGTCACTGGCATTACCCCTACTCCCCTGGGTGAGGGCAAGTCTACGACGACCATGGGTCTGGCCCAGGCTCTGGGTGCTCACCTCGGCCGTGTTACCTTTGCCAATGTGCGTCAGCCCAGCCAGGGCCCGACCTTCGGCATCAAGGGTGGTGCTGCTGGAGGCGGTTACAGCCAAGTCATCCCCATGGACGAGTTCAACATGCACTTGACGGGTGATATCCACGCTATTACTGCGGCCAACAACCTTCTGGCTGCTGCGATTGATACCCGTATGTTCCACGAGGCCACTCAGAAGGACGGTCCTCTCTACCGCCGTCTGGTTCCGGTCAAGAACGGCAAGCGTTCTTTCACTCCCGTGATGCTTCGCCGTCTCAAGAAGCTCGGCATCGACAAGACCGATCCCGACTCCCTGACCGAGGAGGAAATCCGGCGCTTTGCCCGCCTGGACATCGACCCCGAAACCATCACCTGGCGTCGCGTACTCGACGTCAACGACCGGCACCTGCGCGGCGTGACCATCGGCACCGCCCCCACCGAGAAGGGCCACGCCCGCCAGACGGGCTTCGACATCTCTGTTGCCAGCGAGTGCATGGCCATCCTGGCTCTCAGCACCAGCCTGGCCGACATGCGTGAGCGCCTGGGCCGCATGGTCGTCGCCAGCTCCAAATCCGGGGAGCCCATCACCTGCGACGACATCGGCTGCGGCGGTGCCCTGGCCGCCCTCATGAAGGACGCCATCAAGCCCAACCTGATGCAGTCCCTGGAGGGCACGCCCGTCTTCGTTCACGCAGGCCCATTCGCCAACATCTCCATCGGCAACAGCTCCATTCTTGCTGACAAGATGGCTCTCAAGTTAGCCGGCACTGAGCCCGACGAAGACCATTCCGCCAAGGCAGGCTTCGTCGTCACAGAAGCCGGCTTCGACTTCACCATGGGTGGCGAGCGCTTCTTCAACATTAAGTGCCGCACCTCAGGCCTGGTCCCGGACGTCGTTGTCGTCGTCGCCACCATCCGCGCGCTCAAGGTCCACGGTGGCGGGCCCCCGATCTCCCCCGGTGCCCCGCTCGACCCGGTTTACAAGGAGGAGAACGTCGAGGTCCTCCGCAAGGGCTGCGTCAACCTCGCCAAGCACATCGCCAATGCCAGGTCGTACGGCGTGCCCGTCGTCGTGGCCATCAACAAGTTTGCCACCGACACCGAAGCCGAGGTTGCCGTGGTCCGCGAGGAAGCCATCAAAGCCGGCGCGGAAGACGCCATCCTGGCGAACCACTGGGCCGAGGGCGGCAAGGGCGCCGTCGACCTCGCCAAGGCGGTCGTGGCCGCCGCGGAGAAGCCCAAGAATTTCAAGCTCCTGTACTCCCTCGAGAACAACACCATTCGCGACCGCATCGAAACCATCGCGCGCGAAATGTACGGCGCCTCGGGCGTCGAATTCTCCGAGCTGGCGCAGAAGAAGATCGATCTGTACACCAATCAGGGCTTTGGCAACCTGCCAATCTGCATTGCCAAGACGCAATATAGTCTGAGCCACGACCCCGAACTGAAGGGCGCGCCAACGGGATTCATCGTGCCCATTCGCGATGTGAGAATGGCAGCTGGCGCCGGGTATTTGTATGCCCTTGCCGCGGACATACAAACGATTCCTGGCTTGCCGACCGCGCCGGGGTATTTGAATGTGGATGTTGATGCTGAGACGGGGGAGATTCAGGGGCTGTTCTAAGGGATTTGGGTCGGTGATGGGATTGCGGAAAGGGGCAACTTAGGAGGGAGGGAAGGGGGGGAAGGTTATTATTATAGATATACCCATATTATGTTAAGTTCAAAATATCTGTTTCGGTACCTATCTATGGTCTGTAAATTGATCAACTCGTATGAGAGGGAGTATATTATGTGACGGTAGACGCCACATGTCTTAACACAGGGCGTTGAATCGGGGGCTTCAAAGTTATTCTTAGGTAAAACGGCGGAGAATATAAAAAGGATTATGGATAAGAAAAAGTAGAAACGGCATCCCAACTCTGTGAGCCTACTGCGATGACTGTTCCCACTTGTGGTTAAGGTGTCATGGTTATTCTCCTGAGGAATGCCAATTGGGGTCTCAAGACCCATCACTTCAAGTGAATCAAGTACACACGTCACAGATGGCTTCCACCAGGTCTTTAAAACTCATAGGTATCTTCATTGCATCGCACTATCGTGAATATCCGCTGTGGCTAACTCTCTAGCCTTCTCACCCTAACTGCCAACTTTTATACTCTTCTTCCCCCCCCCCCCGGCGCCCTCTTCCCCCTTCTCACCATCCATCGATCATCAACCTCTCTATTCCTATCATTCAAACCCCTTGACACCCCAGCAACTCAGCGAACCTCTCGAGTAAAGAAGTAAAAACGAAACGGATACAACGTCAAAAAAGAAAAAAGAAAAACAAGATACCCACATAAAGAACAACACGAACAATAAACAGATAACCGCCGTCCTCTCGCTGAACCTAAACCTAACCTAACCTAACCCCCATCGAATAAAACCCAGGGCCATTTTGAGAATTAAAAGAAAAAAAAAGGAAAAAAGAAGTCACATGTGCCCCGTTTAAGTTTGTGTTGCATTTCGAGTCAAGCAAGTAAAAACCTAACTCGACTCATTATCATCAGAGAAAAGAGGAAAGAAAAATCCTGTTCCCGTCCCATCCCGGCCCGCCCGTCCCGTCCTGTGACAGCCGATCTTTGATCTTTGAAAGACGTCCAACGGAAAAAAAAAAATTTGATAGTACAGGTTTGTTGTTACTGGGTGTGGTGCACGCGTTCTCAACAATCACATGGTAAACGTTAGCTTGGCAAAATAAAAACATCCAAAACAAAACCCGAGGAGAGAGAATCTTTGACTTCTATCTCCTTCCTTTTTTTTTCTTTCTCCCTCTCCTCTTCTGAGAGCAGAAGAAACACATTTGTCATTACAAGTCTTGTACAGGGTAATAATCATTTCATCTCGGTCGAAAATTTTAAGGGTGTTGGCTTTTCAGAGTTCAGTTCGAATCATCAGGAGTATCACATCACCATCATGTCTTCTTTCTCCTTGCCCTCTTCGCCGGCCTGACCGGCGGCGTAGGAGCCACAAATGTGACGTGCTTGCCCTCGTCTTTCTTGAGCTTAGTCACCGCCGCGGCGGAGGTCGACTCCTTCCTCGGTCGCCGACGCGTCATGGTGCGAGTCTGGACGCGAGCATCGCCATCGTCGTCGATACTAATCTCGGCAATATCCGAGACGTCCTCATCGTCATTCAGAGCGGCCTCTTCGTCGCTTGCGTCTGATTCGGCGGAACCCTCGTCGGACGAGTCGTCATACTCGCCATCGTCACTAACCAGGGACGGCGCGTTGTTGCTCGTCATCGTGTTGGGGCTCATGTCCATGGCTGCCATATCGTCCTCGTCGTTGTCGTACATGGGCGTGTCGGGGTTTACCTCGGGAGTTGAAGCAGCCGCCTCCTCCGCAGGTTCCTCCTCGATCGGCGCCGGGGCTGCAGATGGAGCAGTGTGATTCTTCTTCGGCGGGTGCTCGGGACCGGTTGATGGAGCTGCCGAGTTCGACCTCGCCGGCATCCGTGTCGCTGTCGCGGGATGATCAGCTGCTGGCGCAGAAGCCGTCGGGGTTGGCTGATCGGCTTCTGACTCCTCCTCACCGGCTGAGTACATATCCAACTCGATGGGCGCCTTAGCCTCAGCTACCTGCTCACTCAGATTCCCAGTCATCCCCTTCTTCTGCATCAGTTGTGACAGATATGGGACTTGCGAAGAGCCAACAAAATGTTTCGGCTTGGAAGACGATGCTTTACCGCCACAACTCGAGGTAGATGCCCGCTGCGAAGAGGCCGATACACCCGGCACACTCTTGACATTGGGCAATTTCCCCTGCTCGAACATCTCCAGGGACGCCTTGATACGAGACAGCAGAGCCTGGTAGGCCTGGTGATCGGAAAGCGGTTCGGCGCGCGCCAGGGGATGCACCAAGCCGGAGGAATTGGTAGGCGCCGGTGCGGTGCTGGCTGGCTTGCTCTTGTCGCCGACAATCGCGCCAGTCTCGTCAACCTCGATAGGGTGTCCGCAGTGAATGGCGGCCTCCTCATGGCTTTTGAAATCCCTCCTGTGGGCAATGCGGCAGTGATTGATAAAGCCCTGTGTGCTCGAGAAATCCCACCTGTGGCAGTCAATGCAGATAAGCTTGACGGTGACGCCATCGGACCTCCTGACAATGCAAGGAGAGTTCTTGTCCTTGGGCTGCGGATACCCACTTGAGAGGGAATGCAGCCTCTGCCCGGCGCTACTACGAGCAGAACGGGATCTTCCTCCTAGCTCAGATGTGCTGCTTCTCGTCGTCCTACCTTCGACGGCGACGCCGCCCCTGGCCCGGCCTGCCTCGGCGACTTCGAGCTGGATGCCGTCAAACATGGGATCAGGAATCAACCACTTGGCATAGTGGCGTGCATAAGGGCCCTCGACGACACCAAACGGCGGCGCCCACTTCGGCACGGGCTTTCCAGGCTCGCGCTGCAAAGCAGGGCCTTTGCCGCTGCTGATTTCCAGCATTTGCGCGGGCGTCGGGCATTCCACGGGATAGGGAATCAGGTGGCAGCGGCGGAGTTGCTCGAGGGCAATTTGGCACTTAGCCAGCTCCTGTTCTATGAGGCGGAGTTCATTATGTCTCTCAAGGATTTCGAGACCAAACTGGAACTGAATAACATCCTTAGCAGCCTCAATATCACGAGCACGAGTCAGGCTGGCGCTGGGCAACATGGTTGCGTCTTCACTGGTGACTGAGGCAGCAGCAGACGAGGACGCAGATGCGAACGATGCAGCAGATGCCGAAGCAGATGTCGGCGAGGGCAAGCCCCCATTCTGAGCCCGTTCTGACCTTGCGCGCTTAGCAGGCGGGTAAGCCGCGAGGTTGGAAGCAGGATCAGCGGAAGCAGCGGCGACACCAGCGTCGACAAAACTAGGTCGCCGCCTCTTTGGGGAGATTGGCGTTGGAAGACTAAAGGCATCCGGCTGGGCGCTGGACGCGACGGGTTTGACAGGCTTGGCGCACTCGGGCAAGTGTCGTTGCTGCTGCTGGTGGAGTGTGCGGGAGCTCTCGTCGACCGTCTTGTCACTGTCACTTCCCCTCGAGTCTGCCGTCGTCGTTGTCCAGAAGCGAGGGAACTGCATGGCCTGGGCGAGGAAGAAAAGATGCGACGAAGCAAGCCCCGCGAAGCGTCAGACTCGCAGACGTGGGGGATTGCAACGCGTGTGTTCGTCTCTTTTTCTTCTGTTCTTCGTCTTTGACGCTGTTGCTGTCGTCGCAGCGGCAGCCTTACAGGCGATCGGAAGACAGGGGCCACGCACGGCGCGCAAAAAGGGGGCGGCGGCCAGGGGAAATGAGATGCGACAAACAGTGGCTGACGTAACTGGCCAAGGCGCAGTCAGGTGGTACGTGGGTGACTGTTATCTTCGATGAGTCGGCTTAGTCAGGGCTTGTACCAATCGCAGGTGAGAAAGTGGAGACTGTTCCCCGTCTGAGGCAAGGAAAAGGCGGTTGGACGCCACTCTCGCTCCGTCCTCGTCGAGCCGTCGTGCTGCTGGCTGCTGCTGGGAGCTGGTGGCTCGGAGGACCCGCGACTGCCTGGCTGCGACTGATGACTGCTTGCAACAGACGCCCTCCCAAAAAGAACGGGCAGAAATGCGGCGAAACGAGGCGACGCGTTTGACGGTACGTGAGACAAGTTGCAGAAACTCGAAGAAAAAAAAATTAAATCGAGTAGAGCGCTCGTAAAAGTGTGTTTGGAAAGGAGAGCATGAAGAGAACAGCACAGAAAGCGGTGAGCTGCGCAGTGATTTGGCGGTGGTTGGGGGGGGGGTGATTTGGCAGAGGAGTTGGTTGCAGGATGATGGGGAGTTTGGCGAGCGGGAGAGCGCTCGTCACGCAAGTTTGAAGGGAGAGACGGGCGGCGCAGAGAGCCAGCGAGAGCAAGAGAGAGAGGTCAGAAAGGCTGCACTGCTTTGCCGATGCCGTGGTGTTGGCCTGGGCCCTGGGAGGCAACAAGCCCGCTTGCTGCTCTCAGCGAAATGCCAGAAATGCAAGGGGACAGGGGAGGCCAGTGACCCACTTCCATGCCGCTTGGGCCACAGCCAAGAGCCCATGGCCAGATCAGGAAGGGGCTTCACAATTTTGATTGGCCAGAGTGTCAGACAAAGGCAAGGGGCTAGTTCCACCCTTCCATCAGGTATCCAAGCATCGCTGCTGTGGAAGTGAGGGATGCGAAACATGGAAAAAGGGAAATTTCCATCCGGACGACACAAAGTGTATGTGTCGCTGCGGTTTGTACACAGCACAAATTGTTACTCTCTATTGTTCTGGCTTTGAAATTTCTGGTTCTATCCTCAAAACAAAGCATGAATCAGCCGTGCTGGATTGCGCCATTTCAGCCGAGCAGTACTTGTGTTCGAGACGCTATCAGAAATCCGGATTGGTATGATGGATCATGGATGCCACTGTGGGAGTGGGTGATTGATTCTCGTTTGTCACTGGATGGTTTCATGCAAACTGGTCCAGCACCACGTTTGCTCCCCGACAGCTCGCAGCCAGTGCGTTTCGGTCTGCATCTTATCGTTGCTGTGCCAAGAGAGCCAAGAACGGAACTAGCTTTTGGATGCATCTGGAAGCTGTCAACCCCAAATATTTTATCATCAGATGAAAGCCTAGCATAAACTCAAGTCTAGACTTTGGCGCTGTTAAGGCTATGGACAGAGCCCGTGATCTACCGACTAACCATTTTAACACGTTAAGTGTGTCTGATTTGAAGCCCTCTCAAGCTGAACGCCATGCATGCATATAAAAGCTGCCCGTTCGTTTCCATCTGAGAGAGCGGAAGAGCAAGCACACTGCCAGTCCTGAAAGTTTTTGTTGCCGTTTCAGCAGCATATTGCTCCTTTCTCACATGCAGTCCTCTCTCACGAGGGATGAGTAAAATTGCTAGCGGACTTTGCTGTTACTGTAACGTATCAGTTGCTCGTGATGTGAATCCATCTCAACCCAAAAAAAAAATAAAAAAGGCAAAGCATGTGTAAGTGCGATGTGAATGATACATGCCACAGCGTCTTGCAACTTGTAAATGGTCTACAAAGGGGTACAACAGTCAGACGTGAGAGCCTTGCGCTTCGAAGGCTCAGAACAAAGAGCATAATACTGGGTATCCGGGTTTCCCTCATAACGTCAACACTCTTCTTGAGGAAGGCAGCACTATTGTGTGTGACCACCCCGGCTGACAGCCTGCCAAATCGCCGACTGCTTATCGTGTTCCAGGTCGCTTTATCGAATTATCGATAAGAGAATCGCCTGCCTAGTAGATGGACCCCACACCAAAACATGAAGCAATCCACCTCCCTTGGGCATCCAAGCCCCATCTTATCAACAGCCTTCCAAACACCAAACGCAGAATCAATTCGTCTGGAGCATGGCCACGCTCCGAGTCGCCATGCCATCCACAGCGCCTATGCCTTCCACGACCCAGAACCCCCCAGCCGGCAAGCGGAAATTTGTCGGTGATGCCAACGACGAAAACCGCAAGAAGCAGCGACGAGCAGCCCTCGAGGGCCCAGCCGGGAACCAGCCCAGCGCATCAGCCACACAAAACGAAGCAAACACGAGCCCATACGCGCAAGTTTACAACCCCATCCTCACCAAGCTGGTCGGCAAGTACGACGTCAAACCCATGTCCGTGATGTCCTCGACGAGCATCAGCCACCACGTTGACCGCGCGCTGCAGCACCTGGGCAAGTTTAGCATGTGGGATAAGTCTGTGCTGCCCGGCGTCGTGCTATTGGTCGCGCGCGCCGGGACCACTGGAAAAGCGATCACGATCGCGGAAGTAATTCGGCGGCGCATCGGCGAGAGCGAGCAGAAGTGGTTCCAGTATAACGTACTGGGGGAGACCGCTAGTGTTGTCAGCGTGTCGACACAGGGAGCTGGCATTGGGGGGGAAGTGTCCGTGGTGGAGGACACAAACATGGGAGAGGCACAACGAGAAGATGGGGATGGAGGAGAAGAAGAGGAGTTTTTCGAGACCATGCAGCCACTGATGCCGGCCATTCATCAACAGGCAGTGCACCCTGCTAAGATCAGGCACAAGGCGCATATGGTGATCATCTTGTCCCGAGTTCCGATAAACGAACTCAACGCGGAGCCAAACATATCACTACAGACAAATCAGGACCAAATTGAGTACCTGCGGAAGAAAAAGCTGGGCCTAGTAGCCTAATTTGTGGCATACGGTCGTTGAGATGGACATTTCATCTCTCCTTTATGCTTAGGTGAATACGGTCTCTCTCTGCGCCGAGTTACGGTTTTCTCAGTATTTTTGGGACTTCGGACTATCGGCTTACGTTGCGAATATGGAAATGTTTTTTTTGGGGGGGGGAGGGGGGAGGGAAGTAATTTCGGCTGCAAACCGAGGGAATTCGGAGGACATAGAAAAGTACTTTAATTTGTGATACCCAAATGTTGATAGGCATCGGAGTCACAGCTTTCGCCTTGTTAAAACATCAACACAGATTCCAAATACGGTCTCCCAGGATGACATTACCGATCCCACTTTGGCCGAAAGACTCGGCATCGGCGTGTGTTTACCTGCTTGCGTGGCCCAAAGAATCCCTTACTGAGTATGTATGCAAAACTATCCACATTGATCCAAGCCGAGTTCAAAGACGCCATTACCAATCCTCTGTCAACCCAGTTACCCGTACAATCTACTTATAACCCAGTCCAATGTACCAAAGTGGCCCCATGTCCCGCATACTTGCCGCGAGGTAATATAACGGAGAAAGTATCCTCATGCGCAAGGTGTCCCTTAATTAAACAAAGAAGCTTCACCGCTGGTCGATATGCTACTGCCTCACCGCTGCCTAACAAACTCAAGGAGACTGATCCTGCCCAGCATAGGTAATGCGCAGCACGAAGTTGACGATAACGGCCAACAGCAGGATGATGGCCAGGAAGGTCGGGCCGAAGCGGTCGTCAAAGCCGGCCTGGCCCCGCATTCTGATAGACTTTGCTCGCCAGTGGTAGGTGAATAACGCGTATATCATGGTGGCCATCGCCACGCCAGTAAATATGAAGGACGATATGAAGGCCGGCCGGTCACCAAAGTTGAGCATGCCAATGGCCAGGGCGCCTAGGATCACGGTGAAGTTGAGCCATGATAGAAAAGTGCGTTCGTTAGCGAAGAAGACCTTGGGCTCGACGCGTGTCGGAAGCGCGATGCGCTTGCCTGTGTGTGTTTTTGTTAGCTTGTTGCGAAGATCACCAAGGTCGGATTGGAGGGAACGGACCCTGCGACGTCTGCAACAGCGGTTGGCTTGACATGTTGATGGGCTTGCCGTTTCGGAGGATGAATTTGAGCAGTACTGAGTCTCCTAGTCCGTGATGTTCAAGAGGAAGTTTGCGGCGCCCAGTGCACCAGAAAGCTCGTGGCTGCGAAGCTCAATTGATCAATCGGAACTCCCCGCTGTCCACAGCGCTCCAAGCAGCATGCACGTGGGTTTGGATCGACATCACCACTGGCGGGTGTCGGGTTAGGTTGCGTCACTGGCGGAGCCGGCAATAGTGTTCAGTCACGTGTGTTGGACCCTCTTGGCACCCTTATCAAGACCTCGCCCACCCCACACGGAACGGTAAGAGGGTGGTCCGAGCGTCCACAGGGCAGGATGGCCAGAGAGGGCGGGCTGTCGATGGAGATCGCTGACACGCCCGCTCGGCGCAGCATCACCGCTTCACACATTGAGGTTGGGTATCAATACGGTTCTGTGGAACAGAGGGAGCGAAAATCGCTTTATTAGATAAGGCGGATACACTCGGTCTTTGTTCTCACTTATCCCGAATCACTGGCGTCTCACGAGCCAATCGTCTCTTATTTCGTTTTGCGCTTTGAACGACGACAACAGCCGAGCCATACAGAGCGATCGCAACCAGTCGAGGTAGCATCTGGTGGCTTGAAGCGCACTGAGCGGGCATAAACAAGCAAAACATACACAAGGGGTCCGATTGCCCAGGACAATCAGCATTTTTTTTTCCCGCACCCCAAACCAACATCACAACTTAGCACAATGGCTGCTCAGACCAACTCGGTACGAGACCGCCTCAAGTCAATGTGCTTCGCAAGAACACCTGCTGACTTCTCTCTATAGCCGATCCCGCTCAAGCGCCTTGAGCAGATCGCCAACGACGTACGCCAACCTCCCCGCATGCCCTCCCCCCCCCCCCCGCGCCCGGCCGCAGAGCGCTAACCTTGTGTCCCACTCGAACAGGTCTGCAACAGTGTCTTCGAGGGCGTCGAGTTCTACGAGCACCCCAAGACTTCACAATGGAACGAGACTATTATTGTATGTTAACCCCACAAGCGCAAATACCCCCCTCGAAGCCAGCGAACACCGCTAACACAGCGCCTTTCACAACAGAATAAGATGCTCAAGGCCGTCATCTCCGAGGCCACTCCTCAAGGTAGCACTGTACCGACCTACAAATTCGCGGTGAACAGCACGATCGTCCAGCACATTGTGCCGACATCGCAGATAAACAAGCCGGTAGCGACCACATCAGAAGATGGCACAACCACCAACAAGAAGGGCCAGGCCGGTCGACGCGGCATGCACAGCGCCACGGGCGGGTACTGGAACGAGAAGACGGACGGCATGTGGAGCTTCAAGTGGGACGGTGAGGGCAAGGGTCTGGATGTGGTCATCATGCTGATTTGGATCGCTGTGTAGACATGGAGTGATGAGAAGGCCGTTTGGGCGTGTTGATTATCTTTTTGATGTCTTTTTTCCCTTTTTCTACGTATTTACCTAATATGTGGACATTTTCTCGAGTATGAATGACAGGGCGTTTGGTTGAGATGAGGTGAATGGGCTCTGAGCAGCCGAGAGCATCGTGGGCATTGTTCTGGGGGTCACTTGGTCGACCCCTTTGCTGGACACATTGCTACCATCATATATGGACAAGTGTCTCTCCTGTAAGGTACCCCCCTCCGTCCTGGAGAGCCGCATCGGATAGCATCCACGTTCGTAGCCTTAAGGCTAGGCCATCCCCACAACAGCTTGCACCAAGACCAATTTTGCCGGTTCGGATTACGACCCCAGGAGGCCAGCGGGCTTTTGGTTCACTGGTAAGTGGCGCCGACGATCATGAGGCTGATGGGATGGTGCTCACGGCGATGAGGATGATCGGTTTTGCCACAGGGACAATCACTTGTTGAGGTTACGGTACCCTCCCGTCAGGGGTAGCGGTTCGACTCCTACGTCTGAATGATGTTTTGGTGAGATTCGTAGACGCTGACCTGAAAAGAAGTGTATTTACGCTCTGACCTTTGTACGGAAGTCATCGTTGCGGCTCATTGTCCCCCGAAACATTGCTGGCGGGATCTTAGCAAACGCGGGGCACGTTAGGAAGGTGGGGCAAACGGCTCCCGGCTCAGATTTCGGAACATTTTCATGCTGCCATGTCTGGACAACCTCACGATTACTCTCCAGATTTTTGTTGTTTCGATCCACCAGAATGTCACTGACCCAAGCATTGTGTTCTGGAAAATTGCTCGAAGGTCTATCATGTGGGATTCCTTTTTTTTTACCCGAGCCTGAGAGAGAAGCTGAAGCCCCCCACGTTCTCGGGGAGCGCAACCACCAAAACTGGGGCTCGAAGCACTGCCTCCGAAGTATCAAAATGTGGCAATTGACCCGTCCTCACGGCGGTGGCCTGCTTGACCTGCAGCGACGGACACTGCAGGAGAATGCATGACGGCATCGCTGACATCTTTGATCGAGAGATTCAGACCACGTAGATCTTCTTAATGATCATCGATCGTATATGTTGCTTTTCTGCTTCCCTGGGTGACACTTGTGCGACCTCCTACCATGGTTCTCAGCATCACATGGACATGCTGCTGAGCCATTATCGGCGTTACCGTTGAATTGGCTCTCGCGGTGACTGACAATCCTGCTGCCCTCAGAGCTGGAATGATGCAATGAAACCCGTTCTGCAATACGGTACTGTACACAGCGTGATACAACTGACACCATCTTCCCTGCATCTTGTCCGCTCTCCTTCCCCACCGAAAGCGTCTTCGACCCGGGACCAAGGCACCCGCAAGCCTGACCAGGAAACCAGGACAAAGCGGCTGGATGGTGTTAGAACGGCGAATCAGGGGCTATCGACCCTCAAGCATCCATCAGTTTTTTTTTTTTTTTTTTTTTGGTCTTTCGAGTCTTGACATGCCTGGCTGTCGGCCTTACTGAACCGTCTGTTGCCCTCGGGTCACTGTACCGTTTACAAGAGATCTCCAGCTGCTGCTCGCCGTTTCTTGGTCTCGTTATCCACAGCCTGCTGTGATTTCTCCTCTCAGCATTGCCCATCAACGGTCTGCTAAGTCGGCCAATCTCGCTGCCGCCTACTTCATATAACACGGAACAGCAGCAAGCTCACATATTAAAGACGGCACCTCTTGTCTCACTACCTCATGAACTTGCTAGTGAGGGGCTCCCGGAATCCCGCTCGCGCACCCATCGGCATTGGTGCCTGTATACCTGGCCTTCAGGTCCTTCTCGGTAGACGCCGTCCCGATACGCCCTTGATTGCTTGTCTCAAGCGGGCCAACCGGGGCTGCCGACCGGCTTTAGCGGGCGAGTCACATCCCCCGCCTGGTTGACAGCTTGTTATAATAGCACGCTGGCATACTACTTAACATCCGACCGTTTCAACCTTGGTATACTTACCCCACGCCGCTCCTGCTCACACGGGCAATTGCTGGCCTATTTTCTACGTTTCAGGTCCGCTTGCGATAAGTAAGCGAATTAACCTTGGTCTTGCTGGCATAAGATCTTTTGTTACCGCTGTTGCGCCAGAGCGCATATATTACGACGCTATGATCGAAGTTCTACACACCAGCCAGGCCGCTATCAACGGTACTGGGTCTGCAACGTTTCGCAGAGGAGAGAACCAGAGAATGAAAGATTATGATCTCAACTCTAGGAAGGATGCAGAGAGCACCAAGCGGGTGCCTCAACGGTCTCAGACTGTCTACGACTATATCTTGCCCCAGGCGCCTACCTTCTTCCCCAAGTACACGCTCCCCACGAGACCACGAATTTTTTGCGATAGCATCCCATCGTCATCATCATCATCATCATCGTCATCATCATCATCATCATCATCATCATCATCATCATCATCCATCGCAAGGTCACAAACCGCACATGACGACCAACTGGTAGACCGACCATCGCGCAAACCGCCCCTCGGTCCGCCACGCCGCTCCTACTCAGTTACAGACGAAGAACCAATCCTCTCCCCGCCGATCGGCCGAATCTCGATCACGGACCTCCCTAGTGAAGTGCACTACCTCATCTTTGGGTTCCTCGACGCTATCGACAGCACATGTCTCGGCCTGACGAACCGCCATTTCTATGCAATTCATCGCAAGCTACACGGTACCGTGCCCCTGACCGCGCGGAGAAAGGGGCCGAATGAGCTGGAATGGGCGTGGCATTTGTCAGGGAGGGTTATTAAGCGCGAGGGGCCGTGGGATCAAGTTGAGAATGGAGATGGGGATGGCGGGGGAAGCGGTCCTCCTAAAGATGGAGGTGGAGGGGGAGCGTCCCCGAAGAAGTTGTCGGAACTAAGAGTGCGTGGGCAGGCGTATTGTCGGATGTGTAGGACGAGTCGGTGCGAACTATATCGGCATATTCAAAGCTGGATGGGCGAGGAACTGGAGTACTGCTCGGTGAGGCGGAAGTTTGGGTCGGTTGCTCCTGAGGGAGCGACGAGCTATTGCTATATGTCGAGGCCAGGGGATATGAGCCAGTGTGGACGGCATTGGGCGAGGAGTGTGAGGGATAGGGAGCGTGAGGGGAAGGAATCTAACGAAGGGACTGCTGGAAAGTGATAAACTGTGGTAGACGAGGTGAATAAGTGATACCCTGGAGTGTTGTTAGCTCAACCTGACCTTGCTATGCTTCCTCATTGACCCTGTCTTAATGCTTGTTTGGTGGTTGGAGATAGGCTCATCAGCGACAGTGAAAATGTCAAGGTAATATCGAGTCCCAGAGACAGCACAAGGGACATAGGAAGAATCCTAAAGCCTGCTGTGTAAGCCAGTCAACCTGGAATGAATAGTATCCAAATCAAATTTTTGCATGCAGAATAAGTCCCAGGCTATGTTTTCATCCGATACTCGGATTTTAGCTTTGTAGATGCATCTTTTAATTTTCACATGAAAAATAAAAGGCCCCTTGACGAACTCTCCCAGCCGATGAAAGAGTGAGCCAGCGACCCGCCGGTCTTGGCAAAACGCACGATCCGGGCAATGACGTGATCTTTAGCAGGGATGTGGTCTAGGCCCCTGTCCAGCTGCATCAATTTTTTGTGCAGACATTTATCAAATCGAGGGAATTTGCCAGCAATTTTACCAGCGAGGTATCAGCACGTCGCGAGCATCACCGCTACCCCAGAAGAGCGACCCTTTTTCCATCCGTCTCGATTTCTTCCCACAGCTGACATAGCAAACTGCCCACGGGCTGCACGAGGAAGCTTCTGACTACGTAACCACAATCGCCGCTGAGCTTGTCGCCAAGTCTCTAGCCCACCGTCCCCAGCAGTCCCAGTCCGACTGCGCCCGTTGCTGTCGAGCGTGTCGAAATTTCTAGCTCTCTCGTTGTGGACCTGTCCCGGGATCCGACCCTCTCGGCCGCTGCAAGAAGTCGCCGAACGAAGCCTCTGCTGCTGCAAAGTGCTCCATCAGAAGAGGCGCGACCACTGTCCTGTCTGCTGCCCGCTGTCCACTGCCACAAGGACCCGTAGTGCCTGCTGCTGTCCCTGTCGCTGTGCTGTTCTCCTGTCTGGATCCAGCGCGTGGCCATTGACTGCTAGCCACGCTCGGAATTGAGACAAATATACGGGCCAAAACACTGGAGAGTGCTCAATTGGCAGTAACTATCACACTGCGGTGAAGAGTGAGGCATTACGGTACGTAACTGTTGAGGACGCTTTCGTCATCTGTCTCAGCCGAGGGCACACCAACAGCAAACATCACACATGGCCGGATCTAAAGCAAAGGCGCGCGCATACGTACTGCATTGAAGCAAAAAGAAGCGCAGGTCAAAAGCAACTGGAGCATGCAGTTGGCGACTTGGCCGGTCAATTACTGCTCTTTGAACCCCACTCGTGGTCGTCCGAACACCAGACACTCGCAGACTGGACACAGTTGCTCGCTGCTGATCCGTCGCTATCCCCATCCCACACTTCTTCCTAACCCACGCCCATTGTCCCCTGCGCCACGACCGTACTCCCCTTTCTCCCTCAGCCCGTGCTTAGCCCAGCACCCGCCCTCCACACCTGTCTTGAGTGTTACGACTGAAGCGTGTATACCTGCCTAGGAATTTCCTGCCCGGCATATATTTTACATCGTTGGCTCGTGGACCCCCCTTTTACTGCCCACAATGTCTTCCCCCACTGGCACCGCTCCCTCACAAAGCGCCACAAAACGTAAGCGCAGCGACATCGCACCATCACCGTCTGCCGCCATGTCCGTAGAAGAGAACGCAGTCATCCAGCCCGAGTCGCGCGACGCCTCGGCCGAAGAGGGCGACACCGCCGCCGAAGCTGCCCGGACCGCCAAGCGCCCGCGCCCCGATACCGATGGCCCCTCTTCGACTGCTACCGGCGCCGCTGCCGCCCCCACATCTGTAGGCGACCCCCGAGAGCCGAGAGATACCATCGAAGCCAGTGCTGACATCGCGGAGCCCGTCTCCCGCAAGGAAACCTCTTCCAGTAAGCCGGATGGTCCCTCCGCCACGGCCATGCCGCCACCGCCCATCGGCCAGATTGTCCATCCCAAGGGTTATCGGACTAACCCCCCGCCCACGGGCCGCCCCGTGCGCGTGTACGCCGATGGCGTGTTTGATCTTTTCCATCTTGGGTAGGTAGACCCCTCTGCATCTGTTGCGCGACGAGATCGCTAAGCTAACCTACCCCGCAGTCACATGCGCCAGCTCGAGCAGTGTAAAAAGGCCTTCCCCGAGGTCTACCTAATTGTGGGCGTTACGGGCGACGAGGACACCCTCAAGTACAAAGGTCTTACTGTGCTGTCGGCCAAGGAGCGCGCCGAGACAGTGCGCCATTGCCGTTGGGTCGACGAGGTTATTGAGAATTGCCCGTGGATCGTCACTCCTGAGTTCTTAGAGGAGCACCAGATTGACTATGTGGCCCACGACGACATCCCATATACCTCGGGCGACAGTGATGATATTTATGCGCCCATCAAGGCCGCTGGCAAGTTTTTGGTCACCCAGCGTACCGAGGGCGTGAGCACCACGGGCATCATTACTAAGTGAGCCTCCTACTCAGTACGTGTGCCTTCAGAAGATAGCATGCTAACCTATTCAGGATCGTCCGCGACTACGAGAAATACATCGAGCGCCAGCTCAAGCGCGGTGCCTCTCGCCAGGAACTCAACATTAGCTGGCTCAAGAAGAATGAGCTAGAGCTCAAGCGCCACGTGCAGGACTTGCGCGACAACATCCGCCAGAACTGGGCCACCACTGGTCAGGAGCTCAGCCGCGAGCTGCGCAACTTCTGGCCCTCGTCGCGTCCCCAGAGTCCTGCCCGGCGCGGCGGGAATCTGAGCAATAACAGCAACAATGACCACAGCCAGAGTGGCAGCGACCCGATCAGTCCCGTCAGCCCGACTACTCGGATGGGTACCCGGAGCCCAAACTCGGAGACGAGGACCGCGGGCGAGCGTGCCACGAGCGGGATGAATGATTTTATCACGGGTTATACCCTTGGGTTGATTGGGGGTGTGCGGTCATGGGTATGTTTTCACTGATATTGTGATTGGTAGTTTCCAAGCACACTGCTTTGCTGACTCGACTGCGTAGATGACCAAGTCCCGTCGCGCATCCCGGCAAGAAGAGAACAACAATCATGCTAATAACGCTGCTGCAACCGGCGAAGAGGCCGAGTCGAGCATCGTCGCCGCCGAGGCTACCACGAGCCGGTCATAGGCCGGCTCTCTCTTCTTCTGTCGAGGCCAGTGGTCTTGCAAAAAGTTGTTGGTTTACCACCGCAAGTGCGGTCATTGACATTGACCGTACAGCTTTTTTTTTTGGATATGAGGCCTGGGAGGGGCAATCTTGCGAGTTGAGGTTGTTGAGGTTCTCGACAAACGGGAGCAGGGTCCCCGAAATCCGTACAGTCTTGCTCTTGCACTGTTAGGAATTTCCGTCTCCCATATTTTCCGCCGGCTCGAAGGACCGAATCGGTGATGTCATTCGGTCAGTCGCTGTCATCACTTATCATTTCCTCTTTCCCAATTTCCCAACCCCGAAAGTTTCACCCTTCCGTTCCATACAACGTGCTCTCTGCCTCTCGCCGGCCTCAACCTCACTCCTCTCTCTCTCTCTCTCCCTCCTGAGTTTTGTTCAAGTCATCATCATCAAACCCAAACCTATCTTATTGACCCCCTTTCTTGTTTTGATGCCTTGCATATCTTGATAGCAGGCACAGAGAAATAAGCATCCAAGTACTGGCCCTGACACTTGGAGGTAGGCGCCACTGCAAGACCCACCGCAAGCAAGCAATGTTGGGCTAGGGGAATGTCTTGCTGTTTACGAGAAGCTCTTCTACTACTTTCTTTCTCGACTTACGCTCGGCTGCTTGCTCGATGGTTGGTCTCAGCTGCCGCTCTCTGTATAGTTATGGATTAAGGATGCGGACCACGGATTGCGGATTCTAGACTTGACTTGCTTGAGCTGTGCTCTGTCTGGCCAGCTGAACAGAAGATAAGGATTAGGGCTGATAATGATGATTAGGACGGTCGATGGCCTCGTTCTCGCTTGCGAAAAAAGAAAAAGGGAAAAACGGAAATGGAAAGGATGGAAGAAGGAAAGACGACGGTCCCGGTCTGGTCTTTTTTTTTTTTTTGCTGGCTTGCTTTGTGCTCCCAATAGCCCTCAGTGTCTCTATTGGCTACCTTACGTCTACGTAATAAAACGGGCTGATCACTAAGCTGGGGGATGGGGGAATTTTAGAGTTGTCTATATGGATTGTGGATTGTGGGATGATGGTACGGTACGTGCATAAGTACAAGGCTCACTTCTTCGTGTGTTTACTACTAGGTAATAATTCTCGCTTTTATTTTCCTAGATTGTGTCTGTTGTAGGTTGATAGAAGAACTGATGTTCAGGATCGTGATCGGGAATGGGGTTCGCGAGGCTCCCGGTCAGGCCGGAGGTGAGGGCTGTCGGGGCTCTGAAAGAAATGTCGCCTGTCCTGCAAAGTGACTATCTGAGCTTTTGCTTTAGGATCGCCCCCCTATCCCGACTGGATGTCTGTTGCTTCATGCTGATGGTATGCTTTTCGCCTTGGGGTGCTTCCTCACCTCTTTTTCCGAAACGACATGCCCCCGATGTTCTTGTGATCCAGACTCAGACATCGGACATCTGAATCCGAATCCATTCTCAGCTCGTCATCCAGCTCAACAAAAGGAAAATATCAATTCATAATCTGGTGAAGCGGACCGAACTGTGTGACTCACTCAGCTAAGAGCAGCGATGTCATGAACTTTACTTTGTCATCAATCAGCGGCAATGGAGTCCTATTGTCCTTGAATCTATCACCATTGTGTCTTGTGTAACACTCGCGGCAGCGCTCTTCTTGTACCTCCTCAGACCTCTAAAAGCAGACTGCTCAGCCATGACCTTACATACCACGCCCACATCAGGATGTCCAATCCAACTCAACTCTGCCAGGAGGACTCAAGAAGCTTCCCATCGTAGCCGCCGCATTTCTAAATTTCTTCTTCACAGCATCATCATCATCGCTGGACCTCCGCCTCACTCTCCTCCTCGTATTCAGGTAAACACTTCAAACTCCTTTTCACCTGCCTCTTTCGCTCTCTCACATTATCACGCCCTATTGCCAATCCTCGCTGCATACGTCACTCACTCGCTCACTCACTCACTCTTCCTTACAACCGCCGGAACTACCTTATCCCTTGGTTTGTAACAATCATCTTTCCCACCATGTCTCGTCCTACAGGATGTAGATAGATGCCTACTAGACTTCATAAACGGTCGATGTGTACCCCCCTCCCAACGCAATCTCGGGACCGAGCCCCCCTTAGCAATACAAGCGCGCAAAGTGACATAGAATATCGCGTCTGGGAGTGTAGGAGACACTCAAAATTTACAGAGTACACACACAAGTGAACAAAGTGTTACAAAACGCCTGCGTTGCCTCTACGATCCAGCAGCAGCTGCAGCTACCCTCGCCAGCCAGTAAAGTCCAGTGCCTTCGGAATAACGAAAGCCCTGCCCTCCCAGCTGACCGGACCGGCCAAGCAGGAACATATTACACCCGCAGCACAGTGCGCACCCCTACCGCCCGTCTACGGTCTCCGTTCGCCTGCCGCGGGTCCCACCGCAAAGGATTAGCGGTAGGTACGTAAGGTATTGACATTCTGTCGCTGGCCCTTGGTAGATATTGCGTGTTCCGTAGCGTGGGTGTGTTGCGCGGCGTTTAACTGGATGGATGGACGGACGCAAAGAAATAGAAAGCAATTTATCCAGTTCCTCGGGCCTATTACTTACATAACCTTACCTACTTGCTCTCCCGCGCGCCCTGTAGCGAGCTGTACATTGACGACAGCCATGCAAGCGCAAGTGCGATGCATAGCCGTTGAACTGCTGGATGCTCGGCACTTGGCGCATCAATTGGCTCTGGGCCTGCCAACCATGGGAGCATGGAAGAGGGTCACACTATCGCGACGACGTGGACCTGGCTGAGCGCTCTCTAAGGTAGTATAAACCGCAGCCCACGGGCAGCACAGCACAGCATGGGACACAACCCGCCATCCACCCGGAAGAATTTAGGCCAGGGCTTGGCAGCGATCAAGACAGTCAATCGATCCATACATGCATGAAAGCAGGCCGGTAATATGAATCTTTGATACCTGCTCGAAGAAATTATCCGTTTCCGGATAGTTTTCCGTTGTTTTCGTGATCGAAAAGGGTGCAATGGTTCGGGTTTGTGGAAAGAAAGAAGAGGCAGCTTTGAGCATTCGTTTCTGCCTGGCAAAGTGGTGGTGAGGCTAGGCATCTACATTTTTGGCTCTTACCTAAGTGGTCGGCTTTTCGTGCCGCTTGCGCAAGGGAACCGAATGAGGTAAAGTAGAACAAAAGATTTGGCTTCCAAGACAATTAAAAACTCACTTTTACGTTCTGTTTGTAAACAGTCTCAGATAGTCATCAATCGGCGCGCAGATGAAGTCTGCAACCAAAAGGAAACATCATTTTAACCGAGGGGAATCTCCGAGGGCGGCCGAACAATTATCACGTTCCGTCAACCTGGCGGGCGGGAGCGAGCCAAAAAGTTCACGGCTTTTTTTTTTTTTCTTTTTGGCCTGGTCGCTCTGCGTTGGTGCTGTGCTGTGCTGTGCTCAATCCCCAGACGCAACAACGGCCTAATTCCGCGGATGAGAAGCGCGGATACTACCTACCTATGGGATGAGTGGTTCATGGTGCTCACTACTGCGTTACCTGAGTTTGCTTGCTCGCGTTGATCCCTCAATCACACTGGTAACCATCGGCATCCATCTTTGGTGATTATGTCGTCGAAGCAGAGAACCTGATACTTGATGACATACGAATGTTGTCGTCATGGCTCCCAGAGAAGCCTTGGAAGGTGATCTATTTTAAAAGTTAGGATGTTTCAGGTGATGCTCGGAACATGGTGGAGTTGAAAAGGGGCCTACCTAGTAGGGCTGAAGCCGTTGGTAGGCCCCGCTGAAGAAGGCCGGAGTAAAACGCTGTCTCGGCAACTTCGTACCTCCCCCTTGCATGAAGGCTCTGTCATCACTGCGGGGGAGCTGAGGTTATGGTGGCGAGCCCAGACGGGACTTGCGAGCCATGTAACCCGTGAGACCCGTGGGATTCGTGATTGATTCGGTGTGTATGTGGTAGTCCCAACCGCGGTAACGGGTACGAATGCAGTGAACACTGAGAGCAAACACTTTCTCCATCCAGGTCAGCGGCAGACTGCCATCTTCATGGTTCAACAGGGGGCGGCGCGACAGCTCGTGACTGCGATCGATGGAACATAGTTTTGGTGTTGTTGTTGACTTGCTGCAGACAGCAGCGAGCAGAATTCCGTGACCAACAGCCGCAAAGTCTTCTATGCAGGTTGGAACTGTTTCAGATCTGGTGGCTGTACAGCTAGCGGAGCCCATTGGCGAGGCCTCGGTTCGTCTGTGGCTGTGCGGGAATCCTTTCCGGAGACCTGGTGCTACAGAGCCAGATTAACTTTATCTATCGGACTGGTTGGCTGTACCACGAGGCTCGAACCTTCAGGCCCAAGAAACGGAGTCGTCGTCGCACCCAGATGGGGGCACGGCTCCAGTGATTGTACATAGCCCACGTTGTCGGTATCGCGGATGTTGTTGACAGAGCTATCCATAGAAACGATGACTTTCACAACATGATCTGATGAGACAGGTTGACTGTTCACCCCACCTGCTTGCTTGTACGAGATGCGCAGCACACTGCAGCAGCAGCAAGAGCAGTTTGCCAGGCTCCAGTCATTGTCTTGTGCAACCATGATGACAAATGGAAAGGCCTGAGATATCAGTGACAGAGAGCTCGTGAGGGAATGAGCCAATGCCACACATCTGAAGAACACCGCAGAAAGAGAGAGAGAGAGAGAGAGAGAGTGTGTGTGTGTGTGTGTGTGTGTCTGTGGGGGGGGGGTGGAGAGAGAGCAGTCTACGTGGATAGTGCAATGAGTGATACGGCCAACTGCGATGAGACCACTTCGTGTACGGATATGTTTGTCTTCATCTGCGGGCAGTGCGCAAGCGCGATGGTAACATTTTCGAGGACGGCATGCGTACGGTCAGTACTGCAGCACGGAGAGAAAGCCGCGGGAGCACGCCGACCCATCTGCGTACTTGGCCTGCACGATCCCGTACTTTGGAATGTGAGCGCCATCAACGTGCCAGAGCCACGGCGCTGGGGGCGATCCATGTTGGCGGTAATATGAAAAAAAAAAAGAAAAAAAACTGCTGATCAATCCCGTATGGCCTCTGTTGCCCTGGAGGATTGGATGCATGGCCGGTGACTGCTTGAAATCTGAATTTTGTGAACGTAGAAGCGCTCAATGGCGTCCACCCAGACCATATCCACGGACGTAAGATTGGCATGCAGTTAGGGTAGGGTTTCGCTTTTACCCATCAGAACGTCCCTCCTGCCAGATGCTGTCTGATGTTCATAGCCGGCCATCAAAGAGTAGGCCGTTTGTGGCGGAGGAACAGTTAGCGTCCGCCAAGGGTTCCACAATGGAACGGTCCGCCTTTAGCGCGATCCCTACATGCATGTATCGAAGCTGTAATTTATTAGAAGCCGGTTACCTACCTTGCTTGAATCGAGGTTTATTTGTGGGGATTAGCCATCGTCGAGTCCACGTCGTTGTTCGCGCCAACAAAAGAGCCTGGCGCACGCACAGTCTCCACACAATCTTCGATCTACAATTCCCATCAGCGGCCTTGCTGTTTCAACCTCACCCCATTCCATCCCATCCCATTTCTCATATCTGCGCATTTGTTGATGACTGTATTGATGGCCGCAGACATACAGTTAGAAATCAATAGCGTATGCGTGTTTGCGGTCGATATCTGCCGACTTGATGGTCAAACAGGTCGCATCGCGTCTTCTACTCTTCCCCCCTCATTTCCCCTCATCGGATGCATTTCATGCGCGCTTAATCGTCATCTGTGAATGGGATTTTTCCAACTCGGGTAAGCCCCAACGGCGTCGTAGCCGCAATGTTGCACAGGAACACAGGCCAAATCCATCTTAGCGTAAGCTTGGCCAGGGCTTGGTGCCGCGCTCCAAGCCTTTGCTATCCTGGAAGAGATAATTAAGCGCGCTGCAAGCGCCCTGGACACTGATTTGGAAATTCTGGTCGTGGTGGAGGGGCGCTCAGATGACTCGTCTCTGGCGGTGCCGTGGTGAGACCGCCAACCATCAACTAACAACAGCACGCAATGTCCCCCATTCTTCTCCCCACTGCCCTCCACCCCCCCCCTCCCCCCGCGGTCGGCCCGAGTTGATCTCGGCTTGACGCTTCGATAACAATTCCGCGCAGCCATCATATGCGGGCCGTCGGGCGTCGGGTTTGCCGTCGTGGTTGTCGAAATCTTCGAGCGCTCGAGGCCAGGAACAAATCGGCCGCCGTATCGAAAAGAACTAAGCGCCCTGTCCAGATGACGAGTGCGGGGTCTTCAAACACATCGTGGCATCAGTCTACGATCCACCATTACGTCTATCACCAACAGACGTGTAATGATGATGATGATGGTGATATGCCACGCACGGTATACGGAGCAGCCGGCATGTTTGCGACCTCCACTTTATCCCAGAGAGACACGGGACTTCAGTACCAAAACCCCCAACATCCCCGACGTTTGTCTTGAACTGGCAGTTTGGTGGCGTCTTAGACACCTCCTAATAACAACCGACAGCCGCCTAGCGTCGCGTCTCTTTTGCCTGCTCTGGAAAATGGTACACTTCCGAGCTGGTGTTATTCCTTCTGCTACCGTGCCGGTTCAGGTCACAGATGACTATCACAACAAGCAACCAGCTGCATTATCATCGATCCACAGGCTCTTGCTATTGTAGCATGTTTACAGGAAGCGATTCCAAAGAAGCCGGCTGCGTTGATTGTTGGCTGATGGACTCTCGAGAAAAGAGAATTAGAGATGCATCGGCCGGTCTCTCCACATCGGCCAAGAGTTTGCCCGGCTCCCCACGATCTGATGCGGTATTCGCAGGCGGTGTAACGAAAAAGAGGTTGTAGATCTCGACATGCCGACCCAACCCGGGGAACATGCACATGGCCCACATACGAGATGTTACGGCGCATCGGCTACGTTACGCAAGACCTGTAGTGTACTTCACTTCACCGGTCAACATAAGCCGCAAGCCCAACACTTTCCTCCAAGGAGCAATATACACAAGACCAGTTTTCCGGGAGATCAACTCTTCATTGCGCCATCCGCGCTGCCATCGAGTTTTCCAGAACACCATCGAGAGACCTGTTAAGCGGCCCGTCTTTTCGTTGGGACCCGTTTTCATTGGATGCCTGGGGAAAAAAAAAATAGGAAATATGACAAGCCCGCGGCGCAGCACGATAGCTGCCAATGATGGGGTCACCGTTGCCCTCAGCCTGTATGCTTGCATGTTGGCTGCAACCCCAGCCTGCCAGTGCGTCGCGGAACTGTCTGCCGGCCGGCAAATCGACCACTTGGGAAACCCGCCAAGACTTTAATTGTTAGTGACACCGCTCCGAAGGCTTTTCTTCCCTGTGGCACGCACACCATGCTAATGGCTGCTGCGGCTCTCGCGCTTAAGGCCCGGCTAGTCTCGCTTCATTCGTCTGTTCAAACAAGCTAACATTCTAGAGCTAGCATCACCAAGAGCCCGTCCGGCGGCTATGCGGTTGTTCCCGGTGTGTTACTGTGAACAACTGAACCGATTAACACTTGCATCAGGGACATACGGGCTACCTAATCACCAAAGCAGTACTTCAACCTCGAGGGAACTTGGGGGTTTTCAACCTTTTCGGCGCCACAGTTAACCACAATTATGACAACAAGACGGTAAGTTTTTTTTTTTTTTTTTTTGTGTAGGGCATTCGGTCAATTTTTCTTCCGGTTCACTATGGTCGAGGAAAATAAAAAAATGTTCAAGTTAGCAACATAGTTTGCAGCAACCACCGAACAGGCGAGTCCTGGGCTGATGTGATCCGTCTGCCGTGTTCTCTGCTGTGTAACCGCAGTCGCATGATGACTGTCGCTTGGGTCGTGCTACAATTGGTCAGCATGAACACCGTCGTTGATGCAAAAGATCTTGTTCACGTTTCTATATCGCATTTACAGTGTCCCCTCTCCCCTTGCAGGTCCGTAGCCTGCGCCTCTCGTGTGTCAGACCAGTGGTCGCCAAGAAGGGGGAGGGGAACATCCATTCTGTGCTAGCAGCTCTTGACGACCATGCAACTTTTGGGGCCTGCAGATTCTCCAAATTCAGCATGGCGAGATGCTGTTATGCTGCGCACACTAACACCTAGCTACGGATTATTACACGAAATGGCCGACGCCAAAAGAAAGGGTTCACGCCAGGGCCATGCATTTCACGATGCCGGAATGCGTCTCCAATTCCTGCCGGTCGGCTTTTGGACTTGATTTGCAACGCAGCCTTGCCGTAACGCGACCGGACCAGCGACCTGTCATGCATGCTATTATCGGGGTTCACGTACGGATGTGCCGTGGGCGAAAATTACCTACGGAAAATCGTGTTCCGTACGGGTTATGTCAACACTCCCAGCAGGGCGGTGCTGCGGTGAGGTGGCATCCGAGCTTGGAGAAACAGGTTACGGCCTCTCGCTAACCAGAGGAAACTTGGGGACTCGGTGGCATATACACATGGCTGTTCATGGCGCTGGAGAGACTCCGGACGGACTCAACGCTGAGAAGAGGCCGTGGCCTTGAAATTCAGACCAAGACAGGAAGGTACATGAAATCAGCCTCGTTGTGGTCTTCTGGCTCTGTGATGACTCTCTTTTCTTAGTGACAAAGTGACAGCATGCTATCCGGCATCGGAATGCAGCGTACAGGTTATTTTTTTTTTTTTTTTACATCCACAGAAGGGCATGGCCTTTCATACGGGTGCATCGCCAATCTCGATTTCTTTGCTACCCTCCACGGCTTGGTCCAGGCTGTTGGGTCGAGGGTCGGACGGCTGGCTCGTCCGTGGTCTCCTAGGCCAGCGACCGTAGGACAACCCTTCTCTTTCTCGTGTCGACCAAGGCAACTACAAGGCAACTCTGTGATAGGCCGTGTAACGGCAGAGAGCAACTGGGCGAGAGAACAGGCTGCCTTGTACAGAGAGCTGCATATCGTCTACTCCTCTTGCCACATACCGTATCTCGAATGTCGGCCATATGCGTATTTTCTCAGTCCCTACGCGCTAGAGGCGTACCAAGACCTCCAAAGCGCAGATGGTGCGACCATCAAACTAAGCCCTCTGGCGTGGTCTCTGCCAAGATGCCCCCTGGTCGTGCTGCGCGCTTCTTGTGGCCCGCTAGCGGTGCTGTGCCGCGCTGTGTGTTTGACCAGAATGGGGTGTGTGCGCTCGACTGTTCCCCCATTTCGACCTGCTCGCTTGACACCCTGCACTCCCCTGCTCGATCAGTCTTCTCAATTTCTCCTACCCTCGCGATCCACCCTCTCACTCAACCGCGTCCACGGTCCAGCTGTACGGAACACGGGCATCGTTCTGTCTTGTCGCCAGCACTGCTTGTCTGCCCCTCCCCCTCCCTCTCCGTTATCCCATATCCTCCACCTCCCCTGGCGTGCGCCGTGCCTGTGTGTGTGTGTGTGTGTGTGTGTGTGTGTGTGTGTGCGCTACAGCCGCGCTTGTACATGGCACTAACTAAATCGTGAGTGACTACCGGACTGTCACTTTCTCATTCTTGTTCTAAGCCTATTGCTACCTCTCGTCGCCTGCTACTGCTGGCCTGCTGCCAGTCTGAGGCGGGCTGTGTCGTTCCCCCAGCCTGGCATAGGTCCTTCCCATTTCCATTTTGAGAGCTGGCGTCGCCATGACGAGTCTGAGGAAGATACTTCATCTCAATGATGACCGCTCGTCCTTGCCATTGCCATCCCCGTCTCCCCACAATAAAAGGGATCCCGCACCCGCGACCTCGGGCAGCGAGACACCCAATGACGCCGTGAAGGAGTACGTCGACAAGCCTTCTTCACTCCCGGGTTCCGAGAGAAAGGATATCAACCAGGCCTCTCCCGCTGGCCACGCAAATACAAAGCGTGGCTCATCCCCGCGGCCGGTCGAGTCGACCACCTCGATCTCGCAGCCAGATCCATCAGGGGCTACAGATCCAAGGCCATCCAGCGCTCCCAAGTCGGACTTATCCTCATCATCATCATCCTCATCAAGACCTTCTTCAACCTCGGCATCCTCCTCAACCCCCTCTCAGTCAGCCGCTTTGTCTCAGTCTCAGTCTCAGTCAGTGTCTGCTAGCTCCCGACAGTCTACCCGGGATAAGACCAGCAACACCATGAACAACCCAGTGGGGTTTTTCCAACTTTCGCCCTTCCCGCCAGCGGGCCTTCAAAGGCCCTTCCACCCTCATATCAACCATGCCAACATCCCCATCAAGCTCACTCCCAAGACCAGGCGGATAAGCAAGGCCCAAAAGGGATTGCCGGTTCATGTCTGCGACCTGTGCAATCCGCCCAAGACATTCACCCGGGCAGAGCATCTCAGGTATGGTAACTGCTTTGGTCTTGGTCTTCATCATTGAGTCATGTGTACTAAAACTATGCATTCCATAGACGTCACCAGCTTAGCCATGGTAAACCACAGTTTCAGTGCCCTGGCTGTGACAGGGCGTTCCATCGGAGAGACCTCCTCGATAGGCATAAGCTGAGGCAGTAAGCCTTTGTCCTTGAATAGGTCATGATGTGCCGCGTGTGTGCTGACGAAATTGTCAGTGAGCAAGAGGGTCAAAGTGCCCAAACAGCAGAATCGGCACAGCACGGCTCGCCTTCTTCTCCTACTCCTACTACTACTACTACTACTACTACTACTACTACTACTACTACTACGACAACTCAGACCCAGCAGCGGTCGCCGTGTGAATCTATTTCGGGATTAAGCCCCTCGCCATCTACAACGGCCCCTCCTACCCCTAACCCAAATGTTGCCGCCCAGGCCGGCTTCTCACAGCCTGTGAACATCTCGGGTCCTTCCCAACAGCGTGGCGTGGGCTCCGGTCCGAGGAGCCGCAGGAATTCTTCTCAGCAAGCTCAGAACACCTACCCTGTCTCATCTCCGAGCATTCCCATCATGAGTCCTACTCCGCCAACCTCTCTGTCACCTACGCTGCCGGGAAACATGAGTCAGTTCCCGTCCGCTTCCCGCCCGTCACCTCCCGCTATCTACGTAGTTACGCAAGGCATCTCAGTTCAGCCGGCCGAGTTGCCCGATCTCCAAAGTTCGGCATCATCGGCGTGGCCCTCATCAGCCACCGACAGCACTTTCTCCACCCCGGTGTCTGATATCGGCAGAAACGCCCGTTGGCATCGGGGACACCCGTCGCCTACTGTTAGCGAGTGGTCTTCATCACAGCGTCTTTCTCCTTACCCTCCTCCGACACCACGGCGGATCCATAGTCAGAGCCCGGCCCCGTCTGCCATGGGAGACACCCTGCGGTCACCCATATTCGCCGGCTCCCCCTTCCCTGGAGCACAGCAACCGTCTGAGCCATGTACTTTTAGTAACGGCATGCTGAGCGTTCCGGCCCCCGTGGGATTCGTTCCTTCCAACAGCCCCGGGAACCCTAGTTCTCAGCAGCCGTCCGTTGTTGAGATCCCTTACCGGCCTCAGCATCGACATAGCGATTCCGTTTCTACCACACGGACCCAGACCTCTCCTATGGGCACCGCTCAGCCAGGAGAAACTGCGCTGGTCACTACCCCTGCGGTTCCTGCTCAGCTCGATCCAATGGCTGGCTTGGACCGTCGGAAAAGTGTCATGGTTGACACCGACCAGATGGGTCTTGGTATTCTGAGCGGCCTGGCCATCAGCTACGGCACCTCTGGCAACGGGTTGGCAAACCCAGCGGTTGATCAGTCCAGCCAAGTCAACGTTTCTGTCAATGTTGACATGGACATCAACCTGAACAACGGCAGCTGCAGCGGGGAGTATGCCGTTACCATGCCTCTCTCGTCACCATCGGCGATGAGCCAACTGTCCGAAACCGTCCGCAAGGACATCCCCCGCTATGTGGGCGAATACTGGAACCTCGTGGACCCGATGCTTCCTCTCGTCCATCGGCTTTCGTACGAAGCGGCACCCGAGGACGCCCTGACATGCGCCATGGCAGCTGTCGCAACGCAGTACCTCGATAACAAGGACGACCGCCAAAAGGGGACCCAGCTGCACGACGTTGCCCAGCAGGAAATCAAGCGGGTGAGTGCACTCTCACACTCTCCCAGGCCCCCCTCTCTCCAAGTGTGCTGAAGGCCCAGTTCAGCTGACACGAGCCGACACCGTCGCCGCCTCTGCTGCCGCTCACAGATCCCTCAATGGACCCTCCAGACCATGCAAGCCATCCTCCTGTGCGAATACTTCTCCCGCTTCCGCGGCCGCAAGGCCGTCTCGGAGCCATCCAATCGCTTCAAGTCACTTTATGGGAGGGTGAGTGCCGCACGCTCCTCATCGTCATGTCTTTCGCCCTCTTCTTCTATCTATGGCGGCAATGCTATCATCGACTCCAATGCCTGGACACCCGTCTCGTCTCCTGCCTCTCCTGTCCCTTCTGTTTTCGAGGGAGGGTCCTTGTCTATGTCTACCACCCCTACTATGTCGCCCATTGCCCTGCGCCATCTGAGTCCTCTTCCGGGCATGCCCTGGGATGGGCTTGGGTCGTCGCGGCGATCTGTTTCTTCTGGTGCTTCTTCTCCTTTGGCTCCGTTTCCTCCAACCTTTGAGCTGCCTATCCGTCGTCGGCGTAGCAGCACTTTTAATTATAATCTTAATGTTCCCGCTTCATCTCTTTCTTCGCACTTTCGCTCTCGGTCTCAGTCCTCGTTAACCTCATCTTGGTCTTCTTCTTCTTCTTCTTCTTCTTCTTCTTCTTCTTCCTTCTTCTTCTTCTTCTTCTTCCTTCTTCTTCCGTTCCTTACGGCTTGTTTCACTCCCGCGACAACACCGGTTCTCTCTTCTTTTTCAGCCTCTTTCGCTTCACTTTCTCCTTCTCAGCCCTTCTTCCCCGGACAGTCATGCTCACGGCCCGCCGGACAGGCCTGCGATTCGTTTACGCCGGACGATGTCATGCCAATCTTGAACCAGCCATGCTTGTCTGTCCAGGACCGCTGGCAACGCTGGGTTGACATCGAGTCGCGCCGTCGTATCTTCGCCGTCTGCCTCTTCATTGACGCCCATACCGCCATCTACCACGAACAGCAGTTTCGCATGTACGACTGTCAGCCTGATCGTCCTGGCGCTTTTCGGAACATCCCTCTCTTCACCCGTAGTTCTCACTTGTGGGCTTCCCGGACCGCAGACGAGTGGGCGGCCGAGGTTGCCGCTGACCCGTCCCTCCTCATGCCCGAGACCCTCCCCTCTCTCGAGCAACTCACAACCGAGTCTGTCGACGGCTGCACGCCCCTCGACCGTCTCACCATCCTCAGCGTCAGCGCTCTTAGCTTACCCCGCCGCCGTCCCGTCATCCCCAACACCAACTCCCTCTCCACAGCCAGCTCCCCTGCCCCGGAGATGATAGACCCCTCCCACCCCCCTTCATCATCTGACCCAACTGCCCACCTCACCTTGGCTCAAACCCTTGCCTCGCTCTCCCACTCCGTGCAATCCCTCGACGCCGAAGCCCTCCTCCTCCGCCTTTTCCCCCATTGCCCCATCGTCTACACATACCTTGCCCTGCACCACACCCCGTTGCGCGACCTCCTCGCTGTGGCGGGCAACAGCTGGGTGTTTGCTCAGAAACTGCTCTCCGAGTCGGCGTTTCTCGAGGCCCAGCGTCGTGTCACGGCCTGGGCGGCGGCGGTGGGGCATGAGACGGGGGTCGTTGGTGCCGGGGAGGGGAAGAGCGCGGTTAAGGCTGTGGGGTATGCGGCGCGGGCATTACTTGGGTTTTTGGGGGAGGATGGGAGGGGCATGGTTGGGAGAGGGCCCATGAAGCGTGTGCCGTGGGTGGCGGATCTGGGGGATTATTGGGCGGTGTATTGTTGCGCGTTGGTCTGTTGGGCCGTGGGGAGGGCTATGGGGGGGCATGGACATGGGGGACATCAACAACAGCAGTATGGGGAGTTGCTTGCTGTGCATGATCCTGCGCAATTCCATTCCCTTTCTCCCGGATCGCCTACGCTGTCCACGGGCCCCTCCTCATCTTCCATCGCTACCCCCTCAGCGTCAGCCAGCGCTATGGACACAGACGACGACCCTGCCCTTGACGAATCCCCGCTGTCTGAACAAGAACAGTCCGCCCTCCTCTTCCTGCGGACCGTCGCCTCTTCTTTCCCCTCCCCCCACGACGGTATCGACCGTTCTGCGTTGTCCTGGCCCTCCGCAGTCGCAGCCGCCGGGATAGATATGCGAGATGCAACCCTCGGCGTGGTGGCACTGGTCAGACGTCGGCTGAAGGCAGACTGTTTGTGTCCCAGCAGCAGGCTGTTCTGGGATGCGGTTGAGAAGGTGCTAGTTAGGTTGGAGAAGGGGGGTGGTGAGGGGGTTGGGGTACATGGGTTAAGGGCTTGAATTGGATTGGGATTAGCATTGAAGGTGGAAGGGAGTGGTGTTAGGAGGGTTAAGATTTCAGGGTTTTTTTTTTTTTGGGTAGCATGGACATAGGTGGATAAGAAAGGGAAAAGGCATTGAAGAAGGATTGGTGATTGGGTACCATAGATGGAAGGAAGGAAGGATAGGTCGTGTTTATGGCTTGTGTATCTGTCTGTCTGTATGTCTTAATAGGTTGATTCTTTTTGTTTTTTTTTTTCTTATTTGGGTCGGCTTGGGCTGGGTTTGGTAGGGCATGTCATGTCGGGCGGTGTTAGTCTACCTCGTGGGAAGTGATACCCCGGGCATGTTTTTTACAATGTTAGCGGGTTGTTTTGGACGTTTAATGTCTTAATTGACCGGTAATTCTATATCATGTTTGGATATGGTTGGTTGAACATTAGATAAGTCGGAGTCTTAGACTCAGTTATACGAGGTTTGCTTTTAGGTTTTTTTTTTTTTTCTGTTCAAAACTGGTTGTTGGCTTGTATGTGGTTTGCATGATGTTTTAACGTTTTGTTCTATCTTGTTGCATGTTTACTTTCAACATTCGTCCCCAGATCTATTCTTGTCCTGTACTACTAGCTTCTTGTTTTATGTTTGTCTCTCCTCTTTTCTCGAGTTTATTATTGTTTTCAGTACGGCCATGAGCTATAATTATAATGAGTGTACTGTTAGTGATATCACGCATCATTGAGCAGTGATGGCTAGAAATATAAGTTCTAATGATGAATGATATGTCCATATTTCAGAGGTCTCTTTGACCATGGTGAAAGTGACTGTTCTAAAAGCTCGACTGGCATTATGTCCCTCATAGACTTCGAATATGACAGGGCATAAGGAGTCACACTACACAGTATCGCCTCACCAACACGAGGATACGCACGGGAATACTGAAATTTAGGTATCTATCATTTATTGTATCATCTTGCCTTGACTCAAACCCCGAACTATAGGAACGCCCGATAACCACCCGACTACCTAAAGAACTGTTAACTACATTATGTCTTTTCTTTCTTTGCCTCATCAATATTGGTTTCTTTTTATGTTCGCCACGAGGGAGAAAAAAAAAATAAGAGACATGGGAACCGCTATGCCCATTCCATATCCGCCATCTCATCCGTCCGTCAATCAAGAAAAAGGAGCGAGTGTGATTGTTGAAAAGCCCGTCAGACCCCACCATGCGAGCGGAGCACCCGAGCATTGGGCTCATCAGAAGGGGAGACCAAAAGTCAAGCTGCAAGCTGGCCAGAGGACGGGCACCCCTTAGTTGATGTCCACATCTAACTCCAAATCAATCGCCCCAATGATATCATCATCCATCAACGGCCGATGAATACTCGGCATCCCACCCTGCTTCTTGGCCTGCTCCCACTGCTGCTCCTTGAGCTTGGCAATCACCGGCAGCACCTCCTCCTTGTTCTCCCCATTCGCCGGTGTATTCGTGCCACTCGTTCCGTTAGACTGAACAACCTTCTTTGGCGTAACCAGCGAGTCCTGCGACGGGTCATAATGGAACTTGACTCTGGTCCTAACACGGCGGGACAAGTCCCCGTCTTCGACGGGCTCCCCCCTCAAAGTGCGCAGTTCTATCTCCCGGGCCTTCGCCCGCTCCGCAAGCTGTGCTTTGCGCACCATCTCAGAGTTGTACTTCCTATTCTCCAAATTCTTCCTCGCCAGCCTCTCCTGCTGCGACAACCCAACCCCATTCCCATTCTCCCCGTTCCCGCCGTGAGAGGAGGAAGAGGAAGAGGAAGTAGTGGTGGTGGTGGTGGTGGTGGTGGTGGTGGTGGCAGTAGTGGAGGTCTTCATCTGAGGGAACAGACTTCCCGTCCTAAAAGCCAGCCGTGGTACCTCCAGACTATCGAGACGCTCCTGCAGGCGGGCGACGGCCTCCTCATCACCGCGGGCGCGGGCCAGTTCGAGCTGTTTCTGCACCGCTTCGCGCTGAAAGGGGCCGTATTTGGCGTGCATCTCTCGCACGCGGCGGAGCTTCTCGTTGAGTTCTTCGTCCGTCCAGACGTAGTTCACCATGCGGTTGATGTCGTCGATTTTGGAGATGAGCTCGTCTTTCGTGGGGAAGGGCACACCTTCGGCGAGGCAGACTTGTTTGTAGCGGTTGAACTCGGCCTAGAGGAGGGAGGGAGCGGGGGGGTTAGGGGGTGATGACAAGGAACTGATAACAGCAATCAGGACGAACCTCGGTGAACTTGTTATTAGAGCAGCTGATAAAGGGCCAGTCCCGCTGGGCCTTGCCGTGGGCGGCCTTGACGTAAGTGTCGACCACCATCGGATGGCCGGAGTGGTCGGGGATGGCGTACGGACGGCCCTTGGAGAAGCCTAACTTCCGTCAGTCACGCCCTCGCGGTCACAACCCTAACACAAGGCTCAAACCTACCCTTAATAACCGCCATGCGGTACACCTCCTGACGAGTGGCCGGATCAGGCCCAATATTAATCCTCACAAAACACCCGATCATAGCCTGCTCGAAGAGAGGGTGGAAGCAGTAATCCGCAAACCGACTGCGCCCAACACGCACACGCTCAATATCCCGCATGTCAGCCGGCGGGCTCTCCCTCGGCTCAGGACTGCGCGACCTGTTGCGGGACTTGGACCGACGATAGTCATCGCTGTCGCGGCTGCTCGGACGGCGGTTGTACCTGTCGCGGCTCCTGCTACGAGAGCGGCCGTACGATGATTCTGAGCGGTCGCGGTCGCGGTCGCGGTCGCGACGACGGCGATCGTTCTCGCGCTCGCGGGCCTCCTTGCGGCTGGTGCGCTCTTCGCGGGCACGGCGCAGGGAATCCATCTTGTCGCTGCTCTGATCGGCGCGGGTGCGGGCCCGGGATGACTTGCGGAGGTCGGTACGGCGACCTGTGTGGAGATCGTCGTCGTCGTCAAGGTCGACAGCTTTGCGCTTCTTGCTCATGTCTTTTCCCTTCTCCTTCTCCTTTTCCTTCTCCTGGTTGACCTTGAGCTGGCGAAGCATGCGGTTTTGGCGGATACGCTCGTTCTCCTCGCGGCGCTCGGCGAGGATCTGTTCACGCTCGATCTCGCGCATGCTCATAATACGTGCTTTCTCTTCGAGACTCTTGAACAGGCCTTCGACCGGGTAGGGATTGTCATCGTCAGCAGCCGCGCCGCGGGTACGAGCTTGCGGGGTGTCGGAATCGGAGTCCGACTCGTCCATCGGGGCCGACATTTGCGAGCCTGGAGAGCCTGGAGGGGAGCTACGAAGGTCAGCATGCGTCAGGAGGGGAGGGAGGGGGGGAAGGGGGAGGGGGGGGGCTTAAGTCTTGGGACAGTGCATGCGAGAGGGCCGTGATCGCGAGCAGAAAAAAAAATAATGACGATGGCCGCGTTGTCACAATCCCAATCCCCCAAAGAAAAAGTTGCTCCGATCTAGGGAGACTCACGCCTCGCCCTCCTCCTCCTCTTCATCATCCTCGCTGCGGCGCTTTGCCCTGCGCGCTGAAGTACCTCGACGTGGCGCATCCTTGTCATCGTCGTCGTCCTTGTCGGACGCGGCGTCGTCACGGTGGCGTGGGGAAGAATTGTCGCGGCTGATGTCCATGGCCTCGCCGGCATCCTCGCCTTCGGACACGTCGCCGCCGGCGAGGGCGAGCAGTTCGTCATCGATATCGGACATGGTGGTTGATTGCGTTGAGCCTAGATAAGGAAGGGTAGGGAGTCGATTGATTGATTGATGTGTTGGCAGAGAGAGAGAGAGAGAGAGAGAGAGAGAGAGAGAAGAGAGGAGGGAGGGAGGGAGAGGAAGGAGGAGAGAGAGAGAGAGAGAGGAAGGGAGGAGGAGAGGAGGAGAAAGGGAGGAAGGGAGAGGGAGTGAGCCCGATTAAACAAATGACAGCGCCAAAGAGATCAAAATGCGCGACGCACGATCGCAGGCAAAACTCCGTGATCGTGGTCGAAGAAATTGGATGGTCAGTGGACACAGCCAGTCGCAGCGATGCGGAGGTGATGGAAGAAGTTGAATGGTTCAGATCCAAAATCTGGGGAATTGAAGCGCCCGAGTAAAGTCGGGTCCGGGAGAAAGCGAGGTGTTTCGCGTTGTGGTACACTGTCCGTTTAGCGGGATACCCAATGAACGCCACGCCTATTGGGACTGTCGCTCTCGGGCTATTGAAAGAGTCAAATAGCGAAGCCTTGGTATTGTGCGTATAACGTCACGTATGTTACGCGTTGCGCAATACGCGTTACGCTATCAGACAGTTGTATAGGTCAGGTCGTTACGTGTGTGGGTGTGTGCGGTACGTACCTTGGAGGTAGCAGGTGGGTGTGGGTCCATCGGGCGATCTCGACTATTCACATCTCTCGGCCGCCGAGCTCATCTTCAAATTTCATGTCCTGCTGCCGTCTTTTACTTGATCTCTCAACTCCTTTCACCAATTAACGGCAATTCATCATCATGGCAAGCCGTCCAGTCCTCCGCACAGCGCGGGTCCTTCTCCCGGCCACTCCAAGCCGTCTCTTCTCAACCACAGCCCCCACCACTTCCACCACTACCTCCTCCTCCTCCTCCTCCTTCTCCTCATCTTCATCACCAACCTCACCGTCCTCAATCTCACAACCCAAAGGTGATGGCCAACAACCCCCCAAATCCACTAAAGGCCGCAAACCTTTAACTCCAGAACAAAGAACCATGCTCTCCCGCGCCCTCCGCGTGAACCAAGCTGGCGAGCTCGCTGCCACCCTCATCTACACAGCCCAAACCCCCCTCGTCGTCTCCCGCGAACCTCACCTCCGTCCGCTAATGCAACACATGTACGACCAGGAAGAAGGCCACCTCCGCACCTTCAACGAATTAATCCATCGTCATCGCGTCCGCCCAACCGCTTTATACCCCCTCTGGCAGGTATTGGCCACTGGTCTAGGCTGGACAACAGCCATGCTGGGGCGGGAGGCCGCCATGGCGTGCACGGAGGCGGTCGAGACCGAGATCGGGGGGCACTATAACGGGCAGATTCGGGATCTGTTGGCGATGGTGGAGGGGTGGGAGCGGGAGGGGTACGAGGTTGGGGAGGAGTTTCGCAGTTTGATCGAGACGCTGCGGAAGACGAGGGATGAGGAATTGGAGCATTTGGATCATGCGGTCGAGCATGATGCTAGGAAGGCGGAGCCGCATTGGTTATTGACGGGGATTATCAGGTTGGGGTGTAGAGGGGCGATTTGGGTTAGTGAGCGGGTGTAAGAGACGCTCAAGGGGGATGGATGGAAAATTTGTATTATATCTGTATGTGGGATGGATGTAGAGTA